TGGGGTGCTGGGCTGGTTTGCATACAAACAACCACTGTAATACTTGAAGTCTGCATTTGCAAGCAAATCTTTTCCTTAACGTTTTTGGGACCCAGACCTTGATGTTCTGTAAGTGTTTGCTGCTGTGATATCACAGCACATGAGTCACACAGCATCCAGGCAGGATGAATTATTGACTCAGGAGGAGAAGCTGCTGGGTGCTGGTGCTTGCACTGCTCTGTGCTGGAAGTCGTGCTGGATGCAGAACTGGTCAGTGCTGGAGGGTGAGGACTGGAAAACTGCTGGAATTTTCCCTGTGCTGTGTGCATTCTGTAGCGCAGGCAGCTGGAGTTTCAAACTCCAGTCTTTGTTGTAAATACAGATAAACTTCCCTGGCTCTGTGCTGAGCTCCAGGCAGGGTTCTGTCTCTCCTGACCCTTTGGGAGCTGTGTGGCTGCAGCCCTGCTGGGAGCTGGGCTCTGCTGATGCAGCACATCTGTGCTCTGCAGGTTCTTTCCCTTTTTTGGCTGTGGAGATGCTGTTCCTGCTGGGATGGGATGGGGTGGCTGTGTGTGATCCTGCAGTCTGTGCTACCTGCAGCAACGTGTTCTGTGACTCACAGCTGGCTCCTGCAGCAGGGAGTGGGATTGAACAGCCAGAGGGAATCAGCCCTGGAAGCTGGTGGTCTCAGCAAGCTGTGTTTGAACAGGCATTGTGTCCCTGCTGCTTTGTGCCTCTCCGGACAGGTCTGTGTCACAGGCTCTCACTAAATGTCACCTGTGCATCTAAAGTACCTGGTTCCTCCTTCGCATCCAGTATCCAGAGGACAGTGCAGGCAATGGAGTGCTGGTTGCAGGATTTAAACCTGGGGGAGCCTCATGGAACACCATGAGACACAAGAGACATCCCAGCCCCTGTCTGGGGCTGCAGGGAATGCAGTGAGCTGTAAATCCATAGGGTGCAACTCTCTCCTTAATTCCTTGGCTTAGTCTCTCACATCTGTTCCTTTCCTCCAGCCTCTCCAAGTTAATCCTGCCCCCATTACCAGTACCTGACACTGACCTGTGGTTGTTTGCTGAAACAGAAATTACAATGAGGAAAACGATGCTTTGTATTTAAAAAACAAGCAGGCTTAGTTATACGAAACTATTAATTAGCCCAAATGAAAGAATCTTGGCTCAGAGGTGTCTGGCTCCTTCCTTACACCAATTACAATAAATCTCCTTGCTGCCTCAAATTAGCTCATTCATGAAATGCAGCCCCGTGTGCCTGCAGCTCCAGCTGATCCAGAGGCAGAGTTCCCGTGCTCTGCTTCCCACATCCTGCCCAGCAATTTCCAAAAATGCAGGAAAACAGCTCCTTGCTTCTCTCCCTTTGTTTTATCAGGTGGGAAGGAGCTGCAGCAGCCCAGCTTGTGCCCACAGCCCTTGCTGTGCAGCACAGGGAGGTGCTGTGCCCTCAGCAGTGTTCCCTCAGCAGTCTGGGGACAGGGAGAGGCTGGTGCTGAGGGGATGCTGTGTTGGGAACAGGGATTTTATGTCAGCCACCAGCACTTTGCTAGAGAGGATTTTCTCCCCCTTAATTGAAAGAAGATGCCACAAATAAGAGGCCATGGTGTGAAACTGCCACAGGAGCATTTCTGTGCTGGTTTTTCTTCACCTGTCACCAGGTCAGCCCCTCTCGTGTCCTTTGGCCCATGAAAAAGGGGAGGACATTTACAATTCCAGCTGCAGCAGAGCTCACTGCAGGGTGGTGGCACCATCCCTGTCCTCGTGGGGCAGGGATGCTGCTCCCAGGGAGGGTTTGCAGGGACATCCCTGGGTAGAGGCATGGCACAGCAGGATCAGCTGCAGGTCCCAGTGACTCCCTGGAGCATTGGAGCCTGGATAGAGGCACAGCAGGACCAGCTGCAGGTCCCAGTGACTCCCTGGAGCATTCAGCATCCTCGGGTGCTGCTGCCAGCCAGAGCCCAGTGCCCTTCCAAGCTGTCTCCAAGGTGACAGGATTGTCACAGCCCACCTTCCCCCGCTGCCTGGGCCCGATTTCAGACCTGTAACTCCTTTTCCTGCATGGATTCTCTCACTGGAGAAGAGAAATGAGGTTTTATTTGTTTATTTTTTTTTAGCTAGATAAAAGGGGCTGCCTTGGCGTGACCTGTGCAAAGTGGGGTTTCTGTCTCTGTGTGTACATTTGCAGCTCTGAGGATTTATTTGCTCGGTTATTTAATGTATTTATGGCTTAGCCCCGTTGTGTTCCTGGTGCTCCCTGCCCTGGCAGCTCCCCCTGGTGCTGGGGCTGCTCCAGCCTCTGCCCTGCCCTCCCTCCTGGTGTTTGGCTGTGTCCCTGCAGCCCTGGGATGTCACTGTGCCCTGGCACTGTCACCCCCTGCCCTCTCCATTCATTCCAGACCTTTCCTGGCTGGGTTTGGTGCTGGGTGTGAGTCACTGCAATGCCCTGGGATGTCACTGTGCCCTGGCACTGTCACTCCCTGCCCTCTCCATTCATTCCAGACCTTTCCTGGCTGGGTTTGGTGTTGGTGTGAGTCCCTGCAGCCCTGGGATGTCACTGTGCCCTGGCACTGTCACCCCCTGCCCTCACCATTCATTCCAGACCTTTCCTGGCTGGGTTTGGTGCTGGGTGTGAGTCCCTGCAGCCCTGGGATGTCACTGTGCCCTGGCACTGTCACCCCCTGCCCTCTCCATTCATTCCAGACCTTTCCTGGCTGGGTTTGGTGCTGGGTGTGAGTCCCTGCAGCCCTGGGATGTCACTGTGCCCTGGCACTGTCACCCCCTGCCCTCTCCATTCATTCCAGACCTTTCCTGGCTGGGTTTGGTGTTGGTGTGAGTCCCTGCAATGCCCTGGGATGTCACTGTGCCCTGGCACTGTCACCTGTGCCCTCACCATTCATTCCAGACCTTTCCTGGCTGGGTTTGGTGCTGGGGTGAGTCCCTGCAATGCCCTGGGATGTCACTGTGCCCTGGCACTGTCACCCCCTGCCCTCTCCATTCATTCCAGACCTTTCCCCCTGCAGCAGCTGCTCCAGGCTGGGTTGGTGGGAGCAGCTCCTGCCCTGAATCCCTGCAGGGGCTCAGGGTGAGGGTCTGAGGTTCAGCCCAGGCTGAGCAGGAGCCCTGCACACCCAAGGGCTGCTCAGAGCCCTGGCAGCTGCACTGGGAACCATAAACTTGAAACAAAACCTGTCTTCCCAATAAAGCTGCTATTGTACAAACTGCTGCTTTGGATTTGCTTTTGATTCTGCACCTGTATTTAATTCCAGTTCTGTGTTAAAATAGGAATGTCATAATTTTATGAAGGAGAGCAATCAGAAAAGTTCTCTTTCTATTGTGATTCTTCTCCTGCCCTCTGGGCAAATGTTATTTTGCTTCCAGAAGTGGTTTTGTGATTATTATTTGGAGCTGTTTGTGCTGTGCTGGAGTTGCTGCTGATATTTTAAATCCAGTGAGAATAAGTGTTATTAATTGACTTTAGTACCTTGTTTACTCCCTTAATTCCTGCAATGATTTATAAATCCTGTGTTGAGATTCAAACCTGGTGTTCAATAAAAAGCTCGTTTCATATCTGACCAGTCTGCGAAGCTGAAATATTTATATCATATTTATATCATAATGTAAGTAAACCCTGCTCTGTGGCTGGGATGGGAAAGGTGTCTCACCGAATACTGGAAGATATAAAATATATTTTCAGATGATTTAGATACCACTTGGAAAAGCCTGTGGGGAGCAGGAGAAGGGGTGTGCTCAGAGCAATCCAAGCTAAACCAGAGCTCTCTTTTCTTTGGTTTCTGTGGATTTGAGAATGGAGAAAAACCTGGATTTTGAGGGGGAGAACACTTGTGTAAAATCTTTTGCTGTGGTGAGTACAAGAGGAGCTTTTGCAGTGAAATTCCCACAAGCACCAAGAGTGTAATATAACCTTGAATGGGGATTTCAGGTGAATTGTTTTCTCATGTGTTTTATTAGGCAATTTCACTTTTTATGGGTCTAACTTTCCCTTGTGTTTAGAGCCAGCCTTTGGTGCCTTCTTGGCTGAACATCAGCATCTCCCTCTCCCCTCAGTCCTCGGGCAGTGTGTGCATAAAATCTACAGAATAATTCAAAGTGGAGAATTTTTAACCTTCTATTTTTTAATACCAGAAATACTGTAAAACCCTACTTTGCCCATTTTTAGGTAAAGTTTAATTTTATGAGCAGATTTCAGTTTTTAGCATTTTTTTTCCCTTTCAAATGTCATGTGTTGGAACGTCTCCAGACCAGTGATTAATCCTGATTTTTCACTCTCTAGTTCCTCACTTACCATTTCCCTGATAAATTTGGAAGATGAGTCTGTGTGTCTGCCTGCCACTGGAACTGGGATGCAGCCATGGAACCCGATGGCAAACCTCACCTTTATTTCAGTGGGGCAGAACTCACTGGGAAAAGCAGAAAACATCCTTCAGCCACAATTGTTTACAGGCTGCTGCTGGAGCTCCACTAGCACAGTTTGGAACAGGAAACCAACACATGTTCTGGATTAATCTTTATTGATTTTGTTTTTTTTACAAGTATAGAATCTCATTGAAATCAGACAGCGATCGCAGCACTCTGCCTGCTCCTCCTCCTGCAGAGGCCACAGAAGCTCCGGTGCCTTCTCAGGAGCACCAGGGGCTCTCCTGGGCTGCAGCCACACTCCAAGGAACCAGCAAGGCTTCTCCAGGGAGGGCTGGGGCTGGAGTGGCTCCTGGCACGCTCTGAGCGAGGCCAGGCCTCTGTCACCGCCCTGGGGACAGAGAGGAGCAGCCCTGGAATGCAGCATAACCTCGAGGACGGAATGGAGAGAGGCAGGAGTGGCTAAGGCAGGTCCTGAGGGGAGCTGGAGCTGAGCAGCCCAGGGATTGAGCCCCTCCAGGGCTTTGGGCTGGCTGCTGGATGCTGGCACACACACCCAGCCCAGGAACCCAGGGGATTGAGCCCCTCCTGGAGGGATTCACCCCTCCCAGGGCTCTGGGCTGGCTGCTGGGATGCTGCCGGATGCTGGCACACACATCCCCAGCCCTGGCAGGGCCGTGCACACATTCCTGAGCGTCTCTTTGGCTGCCCCAGAGGCTTCATCCCTCCTGCTTCTGCCTTGAGCCACATCTGGACAAGATCTGTCAACTTTCCACCCACAGAACACACCAGCATTTTCCAGTGGTTGAAGTGTATTCCAGGACTATTGCCCTGGCATGGAATGAGTGAAAAAGGATCTTGTATTTATTTGATTTGAATTGCTCAATTTTTATTTCACTTGTGGCCGACACGGACTGATTCAATCTTTTTTGTTTGTTTGTTTTTTTCCCTTTTTTCCCCTAACTTTGAATACGATTAAGAGCTGACTAAAGGTCTCAAACACTATATACTGAGAGTCACTACGGATGTTAAAGAAAACACCAGCACCAGCACCACGGCCCCTGTGCTCCTGCCTCCCTGGTGCTTGGAAAACCTGCTGCTGTGGGGCAGGGCCTCGCTGGTGCTGCTCCTGAGCCACTACAGGGTTGTGCAAGGAAGCAAACAAGCTAGAACAAAATATCCAGGCTACTACTGAGGCAGGAAGCGTACTTGGGCCATCCACTCTGCCCAATGCCTCTCAGGCCCTTCCCTGGAGGATCCTAATAAACTGACTGAAAAAAAAAAGGAAAAAAATATGGAGGCTTTATGGAAGGAATAAACTTATAATGAGACCCGGATTTACTAAATCAGAGATGCAGATGGGAAATCCCCATAGAGAAAAACGCTTCGAAGGGAATCGTTGGCCTTGCGGGTTAGTGAGGTGACAGTTGAGGTTCTGCTGTGTGGTAGAGAACCAAAGTTGGCTGTAGAAGGAGAAGGGAACATCTCCGGTCTGCTCAACTCGCGTTTCCCATCTGCAGTCCCGTTAAATTCCCCAGTAAGGCATCAGGGGTCTCCTCTCTCTCTCGTAAACGTCCGGGACGATGCCGTAGGGCGTCTGTACCATTTTAACCGTGGTCTTGCCAAAGAGCTTCCTCTCGTAGTCTATCAGCTGCCGCCAGAAGCCCACGTTGGGCCGGATCACGGGGCGCCGCGCCTTCACCCAGCTGTAGGCCTCCAGCAGGGAGACCTTGTGGTGCTTCATGAGGAAGGCGATGCAGAGCGTGGCCGACCTGCTGACGCCGGCGGCGCAGTGCACCAGCGCGGCGCCGTGCTTGCGCGCCACGCTCTGGATCTTGTCGGCCACGCTGTCGAAGTAGAGCGAGATGGGCGCGTTGGGCATGTCGGCCAAAGGCACTTTGACGTACTCAAACTGGGGCCAGTTGAAGTTGGGGATCTCGATGGTGGCGTTGATGATGCACGTGATGCCCCGCGACAGCAGCAGGTGCCGGTTGGAGGCCACGCTGCCCCGGCTCAGGTACAGCGAGGGCGTGATCTGGGCGATGCCCCCCAGGGCGCCTTCCGAGAGCAGCCGCGGAGCCATCAGAGTCCTCGGCAGGGAGTTGTGGCTTCTGGAGGTCATGGAGGATCCTGGCGCTCAGGCTTCCATCGTGGGGAGAGAGCCAAGGGAGGATTGTGTGGCCCGCTGGCGGCAGCACAGCGAGAGCTCCCGCTGCTCGGTCACTGCAAAACACAAGGGAGTGTGTTTTACATCCCTCCCGACCCGTGCCTGTGCCAGGGAACAGGAAAGCCCAGCTCGCCCTGCTCCGGCCTGGCACGGCTCCGTGGGGAATGTGGGGCTGGGCTCACAGTGCTCATTACTGCCGTCCCCCAGGCGCTGCCTGGACAGATAGTAACAAAAAAATCTTCAGCCTAATTAACTCCAATTACTCGCCAAGGGTTCACCTGTGGGCCCGGACAGCATCTCAGCCGGCCCAGCACGTGGAGGATGAGCTACACCTCTTCCATGCTTAAACACAGCAGCTTCACACCTGGCCACAGTTCAAAGGGATGGTGAGGAACAGCAGATGCCAGCAATTTCCAGCAGGCTGCCCTCTCCCCAGTGCCACCCTTCTCCTTTTTAGGTGCAGGAGAGGCCCCGCCAAAGCACATAAACAGAGGAAAGTCGCTCATTAGGAAAGGCGGTGAGTCATGTCCATCCCCATCAGTCATCAGCTCTCACAGAGGCAGGGGAAGTGTGGAAAGAGTGACCTGGTTATGTCAGAAGCTGGGAGTAAAACCCAAGAGCAGAGGCTGGGACAGGGGAGGCTCTTGTCCTGCTTTAATGCCTGACTAATGCTTGGCAGAGGCCTGGGATCGCCCCTGAGAGCCACACGGGCCTGGAGGGTCCCTGCTCTGACCCCCCTGCTCCTTTGGGGCACCTCCAAAGCCAGGGGGAAGCTGCAGGCAAGGGGATGAGCCCTGGAGCATCAATAATTTGCCAGTCTCTGTTCTCTGTTTGGAGAAGGGCACGGGAAAGGCTCCAGTCTGTGCAGGCTGGGGAGCCCCTGCCCAGGTACCTCTGAGCCCACCCTGGTGGCACTGCCAGAGCTGAGGGGACTTAGGGGGGATACTCAGGGCCTTGGGGAGAGGGATCTGCCCCTCTAAAATTCCTAATTATGTTAAGAGGGTCCTTTAAAGGGCTGTGGCTTCCCTGCCCTCAGCTGTGTGCCCTCATGCCATGCTCTGGGAGGCACCAGCGGGTCCCAGCAGTGGCTGGTGGTGCTGCCAGTGGATTTTTGGCTCTGTGCTACAGAAACTTAATGAGCACAACGTGGCCTCCCCTGTGACTCTTCCCTGCTGGCAGCTACCTGAGCAGCTCCTGAAGCTGTGGACTAAAGCTGCAAAAGTTCCTGCCCCAACAAGGCTTTTGCTGCAGCTACGAGTGCCCAGCTTCCCCCCAGTGCAGCCACCCAGCTGGAGCAGCAAGGAAAGGGGTGTTTTCCCAGAGGAATAAAGTTCTCTGAGCAGGGGAAATCCCTGCTCTCAAGCAGCTCTCACTGACAATGCAGAGGGTTTGGCCACTTACAGTTGGTGACAAGGTCCTGCTCTCGGTCACGGCGCGGCACCGCGGAGCTCGGGGCTGCTGGGGCTGGGGTGGCTCAGGGAGAGTGTCCCACGCTGGGCTGGGGAGACAAAACAGCATGGATTGTACTGGGATCCGTGCTGGATCTGATTAGGGGTGCCCAAACAGCATGGATTGTACTGGGATCCGTGCTGGATCTGATTAGGGGTGCCCAAGAACTGGGAGGGAGCACCACGGCTTCCCCACAGAGAGATGAGGGCTCAGGGTGGCACTTGCTGCCAACACCAGAATGTCACCAGTTCCTGCCAACACGGCACTCAGAATCACTGTGAGCCCTGAGGAATCTGAGGCTGGCACAGAAGTCATGGCTCAAAAAAAATAAAGTCATTTAAGTAATTGATTTACTCTAATGTCTCCTTTAGCATCTGCCCAGACCCAGACAGCTGGGGCAGGTCTGTGTCCTTCTGATGGTGCCCAAGCCACCCATGGGGACCCCCTGTCCCTGTGAATGGGAAGGGACAGAGCTGATGCCAGAGCCACAGCACCGTGCTCCCAAAAAGGTGAGGATGGGGCCAACATCCCCTTCCCAACATCCCCTTCCTTCCCCAGAAGCCCCCAGAGTGGAGGCGAATCCCCTGGGAAACGCTGCTGGGTGAGAGCAGAGCCACCCCAAAGCAGCTCTGGGCAAGGCAGAGCCTCCAGCTGCTCCTGGGGGAGCTGGAGCGGTTTGGGAAGGGCCCTGCTGCTTTCCATAAAGTGGTTCCTGTTTGCAGGCAGGAACTTATCCGGGGATTTGCATGTGACAGGCTGGGCTCGCTCTGCAAACTGGGGCTGCCATGCCAGTGGCAAACACCCGCCCATCCCATCCCATCCCATCCCATCCCATCCCATCCCATCCCATCCCATCCCATCCCGCTCCCAGCCCCGTCCAGCCTGCCCTGGACACCTCCAGGGACACAGGGGCAGCCACAGCTGCTCTGTCCCACCTGTTACACCCCAGGCACACACACACGACACCCCCGGGGCTCGGAATGGCCGACACGGCTCCCCCCGAGCCAGAGCAGCTCTCAGGCAGGAGGATGGGATATTTGGAGGAGAATCTCATTATTGCAGCGAGAGATAAGGCTGCTGTGCCCACAGCCCCGTGCCTGGGGATGCCAGCGCCCGGCTCTGGGCACAGCAGGGCGGGCACCGCGTCCCTCCCGTGCGGCGGAGCTGCTGCGATGCCGCCGGCTGTGGCTGCTGACTCAGGCATGTGACAGAGCCACGCTGCTGCCCACACACACTCGGCCGAGCAGCTGCTGCTGAGCAGGGAGCTGGGCATGGAAGGGGCTGGGCTGGCAGCAGCTCTGGCTCCCCCAGGCTCGCAGGTGTGAGCCTTCACCTGTGCCCGGGGCTGCACCCGCATCCCTCCTGTCTGACCCCAGTGCCCTGCTGTGCTCCTGCGAGACCCCTCCTTGTCCCCAGGGCTGCACCCACATCCCTCCTGCCCAGCCCCAGAGCCCTGCCGTGCCCCCATGAGAGCCCCACTGCCCCTGCCAGCACGGCCGCGTTATCCCAGCGCACCCCCTGTAACCCAACACTGCCGCTCTTCACGCAGCCATTCCCCTCATTGTGCTGGGGCAGAGAACAGAAAAGGAATGAAAAGCCTCTCCCCAGCCGTTGCCGAGTGCAGAAAAAAAAAAAAAAAAAAAAAGGAGAAAATGGCAGAAGATGGAACAAAGCCCTCACACAGCCCGGCGTGGCTGTGCCTGGGAGGGTGGTGGCACAAGGGGCTCCTGGCAGGGCACAGGGAGGGGCACCGCTGCCCCTTTGGCCCCTGCACTGCCAGGTACAGCCAGGGAGCAGTGCCTCATGTGAAATAAAACCCCACCTCTTGTCCTACTGCTCCTTGGCTGGGTTTCTGAGTGCTGGCATAGGCTGGGCAGTCACAGCAGCCCAAAGCTGGTGCCCCGGGCTGCTGGGGCCAGAACTGTCCCCAAAGCAGCACTGGAAATGTTTTCCAAAGGCGCTGGAATGTCACTGGGGTTTCCTGCCAAGGCCTGACATCCCCAGAGGCTGCAGATGGTCCTTGAGGAGAACAGTGGGCTGTTGGCATCCAGGTGCTCCTGCCATCACATCCTCCTTTTCTGGGCTGACTCCAGTTAATGAATTAATTAATCTTGCAGCAGCCCTGACCCACAGTAAATCCCTTTCCAGACTGTGCCTTGGTCTAGCCATGCACTGAGCCCAGTGCCCAGTGCCCAGAGGGAGGGCTGGGACCCTGGGGTGGCAGAGGGACCCTGGGGTGGCAGGGGGGCCCTGATGCAGCAGGGGCAGGACTGGAGCAGCCTCCTCCCTCCCCGGCAGACTGGTGGGTTCTGCCATTTCCCTCCTCTGTATAATCAGGGGTGGGGGAAGCCAGTGGCTAATTACAGCCTGGAGAACACCCTGCTCCTCAAAGCCGCCAGGTCCTTCACCAGCGCTCCTGGCCAGCACCATCCTCGGGCTGATGGCGAGGGGACACTTCTGCAGCCCCATCCACCTGGATCCCATCCTGCAGCCAGGATCTCCAGCTCCCAGGTGTAGCTCCTGCTGCACTCCAGGCTGAGCTTTGTGCTTCCCCAGTCTCAGGAGGAGAGGCAGGTGCCCAGCCCGGGCAGCTGCTCCCATGGAAGGCTGGCTGTGTCCCACCTGGGCTGGATCTCCTGGCCCCAGAGCAGCTCCTTTGCAGGTAAGAGGATTTCCAGAGCAGCGCAGCGATCCCAAAGCCGTGCTTGATGTTTTTGGTGGTGCAGCCCCTTGGAAAGGTTGCTGCCGGCAACGCTCGTGGCTCTGCTCCTCCAAATCTTGCAACAGCTGGAGTTTGTTTCTCTTGCTTTCATTCCTGGGAAGGCAGTCCTGTTAACAAAGGCTGGAATTCCCACGGGAAAGCATTGCTGGCTGCTGGACCTCCTGAGAAAGACTTGAAAACACCTCTGGAAGCTCAGATGACAAACAGGGTGAGTTTGTGAGTGGAGTACTGTGATCTCCAGGACAGGAGGGAGAACTGGTCGGGCTCTAGACAATGAGTTGGCAAGTCTGAGCTTCTGCCTTCTTATTCTGGTGCTGCCGGGCGGTTTGCTCTGATTTTTAAGGGTTTGGTTTTTTGTTTGTTTGTTTTTTAATGCAGCTCCTCTGCCTTGAGAGCTGAGGCTGCGGCTCGTCCCGGGGGCACTTGAGTTTCTGTTGGGTTGTGTGGCAGGAACTCAACCATGGGGCTGGTACCTGGACAGGGGAGAGCTCCCCAGGCCTCTCTCCCTCTGGAGCTCAGGTTTAGTGCAGGGTGGGCCCTGCTCTGCTCAGGGAACAGAGACACTGAAGCCCCTGCTTTAATTCCCAGATCATCATCTGGGATTTGGAGAAGATTTCCGGGCTGGGTGTGTGAAATGTCAGTGCTGAGGCAAGGCTTCTCCCCCCTCCCAGGAGAGGAAAAGTTATTCATTTTGGAGATGACAAATGCTCTCTAATCCTGCAGTAAAGAGAAGAGTCAATATCGCAGGCGCTGAGTGAACGAGCCTGCTCAGGGCTCTTCCCAGCCAGCCTGAACAGCAAATTGCTGCAGAAATGGTCCTGGAGAGTGGCATTTCAAATAAATTTCAGCAGACGGCACAAACTGCAGCCATTCTGGGGTCAGGGCTCGCTTGTGCTGAGTCCAAGGGAGCCCAAAGCAGAGCCGGGAGGGGAGAGATCGAGCGGGAGCCGCCGGCTCCTCTTCCCAGCCCTTGGCTCTGCCCTCCTGCCTCTGGTTGTGCTCCTGGAGCCACTACAGCACATCCTCACCACGGAAAGGTCGAGCGGTTCGTTTGGAACGGGAAAGGAGGAAGGGGAGCAGGCGGGTGATCTGGGCTGAGACAGAGGATGCTGCTGCTGGCAGCCTGGGCCGGCCTCTCCGAGCAGGATGGGAGCTGTCAGGTGTTAAATCAAGATAATAATCTGTCTGCCCGGAGCTCTGAGCAGGCCTGGCTGCCTGCGCAGCTCCCAGCACAGCTGGGTCCCCGCGCTTGCCAGAACACACCAGTAACTTCCCAGAGGATCCACTAAAAGGGGAATTGTGCCCAAAGGGGAATCGTGCAAGCAGTCCTGGGCTCTCTGGGAAGCTCCACGACCCCAGAGTGAGCAGTCAGTCTGCAAGCACAGAGCCCTGCCTGCCCCCCGAGCCAGGGCAGCTCCTGCAGGGCTGGCAGTGCCCCAGGAGCCTGTCCCAGCCTGCTGGCAGTGCCAGCCTGCTGCCTCCAGAGCGGTGGCAGCTGACACTGCTGTGTCCCAGGGCTTGGCAAGGCTCACCCACTGCCTCCTGCCTCGCTCCACAGCCGGGCTCTGCTGTGCCTCGGGCTGGCACCAGGCTCAGGGTGGTGCCTCCAACCCAGCCCAAAGTGCCTGGCTGAGCAGTGTCTGAGTGCTCTGCCAGCCCAAATCCCTCCCTGGCTGCCATGCTCCCTGCAGGAAACATGGGCGGTGAGGCTTTTGCAAGCACTCCTCTGAGGGAGGATGCCATTGGTGCCATGGGCAGGGTCCCAGCTGCCAGGCAGGGCAGCAGCTCTGGATTGCCACTGCCACCAGCTCCTGGAGAGTGGCACTGCCCACGGCCACACTGTGATCCCTGCTGGGATCCCTGCCACCCTGCCATGCTGTGATCCCTGCCACCCTGATGGGATCCCTGCCGTGGTCCCTACCATGCAGCCATCCCCTCCACAGCAGGAACAGGCACTGCTCCCTCTCCAAACCCCTGGCCGCAGGGAGAGCTCCTGGCCACAGGGACAGAGCGAGACGGGCAGCGGGCACAACCTGGGGCACGCTGGTATTTATAAACCCTCGCTCTGCTCTGAGGACAAGCCTCCCTCCCTCGGCAAGCAGCGAGAGGATTTGACGCAAGAAAAACAAACCATCTTCCCTTGAAACGCCACGTCTGTGCTTCCAGAGCCACGGGCTCCGTGTGCTGCTGGCTGGGGCACGGGGCTCCCCCAGCACGGGGCAGTGGCGTGGCCACCTGCATCCTGCTTCAAAACTGTGAGAAATGCTTTAAAATCCAGAGCCAAGCTGTGAGGAGGCACGAAGGGATCCTCACAGGGGCGTGCAGCATCGGTTCCCCACTGGGCTGAGCACTGAGGGCTGTTTTCCAGCCCTGAGAGGCGACGCCGCCTCCTCTGGAGCGCCACAGACTGTTCCAGCGCCAGCTGATGGCATCTGGATGGCAGGTGGAGTTTGGGGAAGCTCCATGCCCTGCTCCCCGCGTCCAGTGTGACCCGGGGGAGCTGGACGGGGGCACGTTCAGGGAGCAGACCCAGGCCTGGCTCCGGCTCACAGGGTGCTGCAAGATGGAGCCTTGTTTGTTCCGGAGCCGTGCCCTGCGCGGTCACAGCTGACAGGAGGGACACAATCTCTTCCCTGTTAGCAGCACAAAACACGGGGACCCGGTGTGTTTGCTCGTGTGTGACCCTGCCGGGCCCAGGGCTGTGCCTGCTGCTCGTGGGGCTCTGCCCCAGCCCACCCCAGAGCCCATGAAATCGAAGGCAGCTGCAAATTCACTGCAACGTGTCCTGGAAACAGCTCGGTGCCTCCGTGCTGGCCTCACCCGGGCCTTTTCCAGGGCCAGCGCCAACTGCTGCGTGCTCTCGGCTGCCTGGCTTCCAGGGGGGACCAAAGCTGGCACCCGATGGTGGCACCTTCCCCTCCGGAGGCACTCCTGGCGGGCAGGGGCTGCCCAGCCTTGCCCAGGCTCCCCAAGGCCGGGAGCAGAGGGATGTGCCCACAGCAGCTGGGAGGAATGAGGCCAGCCCTGAGCACAGCCCTGGGGTTGTGTCGGGTAACAGGCAGAGAGGCCCATTTTAACCAGTTCGGGGAGATGGAGTTTACACTGGAGCCTCCTCCCCTGGGGCAGCACCCCTCTGGCTGCTCCAGGCTGGGGGAATTCCCTTTTCCAGGGATGCTGTGCAAATTCACACTTCCTCCACGAAGGACTCCTGCCCCCGAGGGGAGGGACCTGCAGACCCCCCCCACACTGCAGGGTGGGATGGTGAAAATAAATGAGAATTAATTCTCACTGGCCTGGGAGCCCTGACCCAGGGCAGGGGTGGCTGTGGCAGCACCTGTTGATCCTCCCTGCTGGGAACCCCAAACCTGCCTGGGTATTATAATTTTATGCTATTTTTAAAGCAGGGGAGTAGCTGTGTGAGCTGAGCCCACGCACTGCCTGCACCACAGGTGCCCCGGGAAGGGTGGGCAGTGCCTTTGCCTCCCAGTTCCTGGCTTTCTTCCCAGGCATCCAGGGAGCTGGGGCTCCTGTTCAGAGATTCCTCAGCTATTTCCGAATGCCAGAGCCCTCCCTGCATGTTATGGCTGCTCAGAGTGTCCTTTTGGAGCGATAAATGGGTGTGAGTGTGCTGTGTACCTGGAGAGGAGGGGCTGGGAGAGGCTCCCGTGCTGGTTTGAGGTGTTACCCCTCCCTTCCAGGGAAAACCACCCTGGAAGGAGAGTCCTGCAGTGGTGGCAGGAAGCCTGGAAGGCTGCTCTGGTGAACAGCCTGTATTCATGGCTATGGTGGGTCAGCACGTGGTGCTGCCAGGCCCCACTGCCCTGCCCAGGTGCCTTTTCCCCACTCCTCATTCCCAGGCTTTCCCTGCATGCCCAGGCGTGCTGGTTCCATGGGACAAAGCTGGTTCTGGCTCCCAGAACACAAACCTGACACTTTTTTGCGGTGGCTCTGCATCCCTTTGCTCCCTCCCAGGCTCAGGCAGATCTCCCCCCACACCCCGCACGTTTCCAGCACTAGAGCACCGTGAGCTCTCTGGCTTTCCAGCTCCGAGATTCCGGCTGGGATCAGGTATTGAGTTAAGCCATGCAAATTCCCATCTTGCCCTGGCCAAGGAGGAAGCAGTGCCAGAGCCCAGAGCAGACCCCGCAGCGAGGGCTCGGATGAAATCCCCGGGATTTCACCTTTGTTCCTGCAGAACCCGGGATCTGTGTCCCTGTCCAGGACCCAGGCGAGCCCTCGGGGGCAGGAGGGACAGGCAGAGCTGCACGTTCACACCTTCCAGGCACAAACTGATTAAAACCTGCTGCATTACTGCTCCCCTGACGCTCACCAGGGTCACGGCAGCCGAGCCGTGGCATCAGATCTCTGAGCCAGAGGGGAACAGCACGTGTCCCCCAAATGAGGGATCCTTCCTCCTCATTGCTTGGGAACCAGAGTGCCACAGAGCCCGTCCCAGCCACCGGGAACACAGCAAACACCAGGGTTTACAGCGAGGCCTGGGGGAGGAATGCACTCCCTGCCAGAGAAGGGCAGCTGATCCGGTGTCTCAGAAGGGAAAACAGTGTTTTGCCAGTGCTAATCCTCCACCATTCCTGAGGCAGGGGCATTAGGGATAAACTGAACTTGCAACATGATATTAAGGCATCTGCCAACACTCAAACCTCCAGAATAAAAGGCTCATTTGCTGCCCAGTCGAACAGGTTAGAATCCTGCCCCATCTCCCTACAGCCAAATGCCACTCATTGATTACCGGTGTTGCTCAAAGCAGCTGCTCCGGAGCTGAGTCAAGGGCCGTGCATGCAGCCGGGCTGGATGTGAGGCCGGGCAGCTGCAAGTGCCCCCGGGGCTTGGGGACACCGGGCTGCCCTGGGAGCCGGGGTGGGGAGGGCAGGAGCCAGGGGTGGATGCCTGGATGCCCAGAGCAGGAGAGCAAGGGGCAGGAGCCAGGGATGGGAGAGAGGGCAGGAGCCAGGGATGGATGCCCAGAACAGGAGAGCAAGGGCAGGATTTAGGGATGGGAGCAAGGGCAGGATTTAGGGATGGGAGCCCTCCACAGGAGTGCAAGGGCAGGATCCAGGGATGGATGCTGAGCTGGGGATGCCGGGGGCAGGAGCCAGGGATGGGAGCCCACAGCCAGAGCCAGGGATGGGAGCCCTCAGCAGGGGTGGAAGGACAGGATCCAGGGATGGATGCCGAGCTGGGGTGCCGAGGGCAGGATTTAGGGATGGGAGCCCTCAGCAGGAGTGCAAGAGCAGGATCCAGAGATGGATGCCGAGCGGGGGTGCCGAGGGCAGGAGCCGGGGGATCCAGGGATGGATGCCGAGCTGGGGTGCCGAGGGCAGCAGCCAGAGGCGGGTGCCGAGGCAGGATGCGGGGATGGAGCCCTGTTACAGCACAGCCCGCGCTGGGGCTGGTTCCGTTCCCCGTCGAGGAGCCCCCGGAGCCGTGCCCGCGGCTGCTCCGGTGCCGCTCGGAGCTGCCCCCCGCTCTCCCGCCGCGATCTCTGCCGCGTCCCGCTCCCCGGGGCGCCCCGGCAGCGCCGCCCGTCCCGCTGTCCCACGGCACAGCCCCGGCACCCCGAGCCCGCCGGGGATCCGAACCTCCCCGCGTCCCGTCCCGTCCCGCCCGCCGGGGGCCCCTCCGGAGGCACCGTAAGCGAGAGGGGCGGGCTGGGCACAGCGATCACAGCGGGGAACGGCGGGCCCCCCATCCCGAGCGCCCCGGCTCCCCCCGCCCGGCCTGGCCTGGCCTGGCCCGGCTCGTCCCTACCATGGCTCCCGGGCGGCGACTCCGCGCTCCCTCGCGGCCGTGGCGGCGGCGGGCCGGGACTTTTATCGTGCTCGGCCGGCTCCGTCTCGGCGGTGCCACCTGACCGCGGCTGCCGGGGCCGCCCCCGCCCGCAGAGCCGCCGTTACCAGGCTACGGGGGGCGGCCCGGCCCGGCCCCCGGGCGGGGGCTCCGGGAGACCGGCCCCGCTTAAAGGCGCCGCCGCTGCCGCCGGGCCCGCGCGGCCTGGGCGAGAAAAGGGACGGGAAAAGGGGTCCCGGTGGGGACATGACGGGGTCCCTGTGGGGATGGGGACGGCTGAGTGTCACTGTGGAGAAAACACGGGGTCCCTGTGGGGATGGGGACGGCTGAGTGTCACTGTGGGGAAAACACAGGGTCTCTGTGGGGAAGGGGAAAAATGGAGCATCCTGTGGGGCACATCAGGGTCCTGGTGGGGATGTGACTCTGTGGGGACGAGTGGGGATCCCAGTGGGGATGGGAACAAGTGAGGGTTTCAATGGGGACATGATGGGATCACTGTGGGGATGGAGATGATGGGGGTCCCAGTGAGGACATGACAGGTGTCCTGTGGGATGGGATGTGTTGAAGTCAGTGAAGGGACATGGCAGGGAGAGGTGGCTGCTGTGGGCACAGGGATGTGGCAGGGTCTAGGTGAGGATGGGACAGCATGTGGGGATGTGGCAGGACATCCCTTGTTAGGGATGGGACATGCCATGTCCCCATGGGGACCCTGCCAGCGTGTGTGGGGACAAGGTGGGGTCCCTTTGGGGATGGGGATGTGCCAGAATCTCTTGGCTCAATGGGTGCTCACTGGGGAGGGGGCCAGCCCTGAGAAAGAGAGAGAGGAACGTGGTTTTGGGACTCAGGGCATGCCAAGCTGCTCCTCCCCACACTGAAAGCACAGTGAAGGAATGCCAGGTGGTCCTGAGGCTCCCAGGGCTTCTTGTGGCACCCTCCTGGGGGCCAGGCTGGAGGGCCAAGGAGGGATGGGGATCTCCAGGGAGGGATGGGGATCCCCAAGGAGAGATACCAAGGGCTGGGGATTCCCAAGGAGGGATGGGGATCCCCAAGGAGAGGTATCATGGGCTGGGATCCCCAAGGAGGCATGGGGATCCCCAAGGAGAGATGCCATGGGCTGGGATCCCCAAGGAGGGATGGGGATCTCCAGGGAGGGATGCTGTGACTGGGATTCCCAAAGAAGGATGCCCTGGGTGAGGGGATCCACACAGCACAGGGGTCACAGAGTTTTTTCCGGCTGCAAACTGTTGGATTGAGGTGAGGGCTCAGCTCGCACTGCCTCACCACCATGGCAGGGACGGGACAAGGCTGGCACTGGCAGAGGAGGAGGAGGAGGAGGTGGGAGGAGGAGGAGGGCAGCCTCTGCCTTAACCCCGCGGCTGCCGGAGCGAAGCGTGGCCACCCCAGCCCGCTTTTGTTCGCTTTCTGGTTTTGTTGTCGCACGCTCCGACCGAAATAGCCCAAATCCCTCATAGGAAGCTTCCCCCAGCCCGAGCCCTCGGCTGGTATCTCGCTCGGGCAGGTTTCATGACTCAGCAGCCCAGATGGAGCCGTCCCTCACAGCCCTCCGCTCCAAATCTGTTTATTGCTCCAGAGGCTGTTTTTCCAAGAACCTCGCTGCTTTATAGCAGCCAGAGCTCTCCCTTAAAACCCTGCCTCTCCAGCGAGGGCTCGCGTCACACTCCGCGCGGAGGTGGGCGAGGAACAAAAATAGACAAATTAAGAAAACCTCAAAAGGCCAAAAAAAAATGAGAATGTGAGGGGTTTGGCTCTCCAAGCTCGAGGTTTGCTTTGCCTCCGTGTTGCATCAGTTCTGCTGCCTTCCTTGGAGCTGCACCATCTCGGGGAGGGCAGGGATGAATCCCGGGTGATCGCAGGGTGATCACAGCTCTGTGAGACGATGAGAGGCGGCTGAGCCCTCGGGGTGTCCCCTCGGGGTGTCCGCCCGGAGCTGGGGGCTCGCAGCCCTGGCAGGGCAGCCTGGGGGTGTTTATGGGCCGCGGGCAGCGTAGGGAGAGCCGAGGATGGGTTTTGAGTGGCAGCCTGTGGGATTCCCTGCGCAAGCATCCACACCCCTCATTCCCCCTCACCACTGCCGAATGAGGAAAAGGCTCTTGCACATCTCCACTTGCTCATCCTGGGCAGTTTTTAGCTACTCACACAACTGAAAAGGTGTTTCTAATGCTGGTGCTTTTAACCTGCACCCTGCCAGGAGATTTATGTGTGCTTGCATCTCTTGGAAAAGTTCTGAGGATTGCAGGGACAAGATGTTCCAAGCGGTGACCGATGGCACCCCATGGTGCCTTTGGGGGTGATGGCTTTGGAGGGGTCAGGATTGGGCTCTGGTGCTGGTGGGTCAGGATATTCTGTGACTCTGTGAGCTCAGCTTGCCCAGCCCGGCCTGGCAGATGCCCCTGGCTGTGCTGGGGTGAGCTCTGCCCGGTGGGTCCCGGCACATTCCCAAGGGTGCGCCTGACCACGGGCCATTAGCTGGTCATTAGGGCAATTATCTTAATCAGGGTGTTGCCCTGCTCCGTGCAGGGTGTGCTCAGGGTCACGAAGGCCTGCTGAGAGGGGAGAAGGCATCCCTCCATCCATCCATCCATCCATCCATCCATCCATGGAGGTGTGGCCATGGAGAGCCTGTGGTGGGGCAGGCATTGTCCAACAGCTCCCACTCTGCTTGCCCCCATCTCTGTGCTCCCCAGGCTCTTCCTACTCCCTGTTGGGTTCCACATGGTCCTGACCCAGCTCTGCCAGGTGTGACAGCCCCCAGCTGGGGTGTGTGACAGCACACGGCCGGGGTGTGTCACAGCACACAACAGGGATGTGTGGCCAGGCTGTGGTTCCCCTGTGGAGGTGTGTTCAGCTCCCTGGGCAGCAGCCAGGTGTGAAGAGGCCCAGTGGGCTGGGGGCTGCAGGAACTGCTGTGCCTGGTGCTGGGCTCAGTCCCAGCATTGTCCATCGGCTCCAGTCACAGGGAGGGCTGTGGGAATGTGCTTCCTCCAATAAATCCATGCTGGCTTTTCCTGGAAGGTCACCCAGCCAGTTTGCTGGAAGGCCAGAGATCACTATGGGGCATCACCACGTGGATCTTTCCCTTTTCCCTTCTCACCAGGACGGCAGCCTGGGGTTTCTCTAACCACGGCTCAAAAGCTGCTGCTCCGGCGCGGTGTTTTCTCCCAAGGAAAGGTGGTTTAGGTTTCACGGGCCCCTCCTGACGGGAATTTGAGCAGGCACTAAAAGTAGGGCTCCTTGTGTGCCGCTGCTATCGGCGCTATCTGCTCCGTGGGGAGCAGGAGGGCGGGAGGAGCCCCCACTCCCTGGGCTGAGTCACAGCGGGCCCAGCGCTTGCTGCTGGGGTGACGGCAGCTGTGAGTCCCAAAAAAAGCCCCCAGCACTGATGCTTTAATGACAGGCGGATAACACAGCCCCGGGAAGACTCATTCCCTGCATAGCTCAGCGCTGTGACTAAGCTGGAGCAGCCGCAGCCTCACCCCGGCCCCGGTGTCACCAATCCTGCAGGTCCCAAAGTGCCCATCTCCAGCCTGGCTCCATATTTAATGCTAAATATTTAATGTTGCATGGCCACCTGAGGCTGTAATTAAGGACCTGCATCCCCCAGCTGTGAGTCTGGAATGCAGCGGGGGCTGGTGTTCCCCAGCCCCCCAAACCAGCCCCAGGATGGTTCCAGTGCCCTCGGCTCCTTTTCTGCCTTTGGGTGAAGTCACCCAAAAGAAAGGCAGTTTGGCTGTTAACTGTTAAAAGACAAGTGGGAAAAGCATTCCCAAGGTTTTACAGCTTACTGTGCCCTTTCCCTTGGCGTCCCCAGTCTCAATTTCTGGACTTTAATCTCCAACACGTCGTTTATTACTGCTGCTTTTCTTTAAACAGAAATATTTGCCAGGAAATGCAGTGGCTGCATCCCTACGGCCGCTGCTGGGGTTTATCTCCTCTCTCCTGGTGAGGAGCTGATGGATATAGATCCAGGCAGCTGTGTGACCTTTACAGTCTCACTCCGAGTCTGGGGACGTGGATGTAAGATTGTTTCAAGTCATTTTGATTTTATTACAAACCAAAATACTTCACATTCAATGGCACCTCCTGTCCACAGGATAATTACTCTTGGGGAGCAAAAACAACCCAAATCCCAACACCTTAGCCAGGTACTGGTGCAGCTGGAGCTCAGTTAGGCTGTTCCAAGAGATCCTAAACTTGGGAGAATCCAATACCCCACCTGCTCTGGCTCCTGGCTTTCCTGTGGGACATTATTCCAGCATTACACCCTAGCAGGAAGCTGTCTGACAAACAATTCACTGTTCAATAAACACACAAGCTGCACCTGCAGAGAGCCATCTTCATCATCCAACTCACTGCCAAATCCCCACGTTTGGCGCTGGAGCCCCTGATCAGATGATGGCATGGGGGCTGTGTTTGAGCAGTGACTTGTGGCACCTCCTCAGGCGTGTCACTGGTAATGCTGAGGGAATAAAGCCCCACCAACAGGAGCTTCTTCACTCCTTTTCTGTGGGAGAACATCAGGGTCCCGAGAAGCTTTTTATCCCTGTGTCCCAAAAGCTGCAGTGGCTGTAGCTTGCAGCCTTCCCAAGGAGCAGAAGGCTGAAATGGAGGGATAATATTTAACCTGACACCCCCAAATCACGGGGGGAGCAGGATCCAAGCTCCTTGGTTTGTGCAGAGCTGTCCTGCTGGGATGTTTGCTAATACCCCATAACAGTAACAACTGTTGAGGAGCTTCCCTGCCACGTCCTTTCCCATCCTTTATCACAATCAAGTTAAAAGGACTGGACCACTGCAAGCTCTATTTTTACAGCCTCGGGCACGTGCTGTCGCCTCTGAGAGCTGCTGCTGATGTAGGGAGCAACACGAGGAGGGAGGGACTGCATCTCTGTACCCCGTGCTGCAAAAAGTGTGGCTGTGTCCTGATTCTTTGTCAGCAGCACACAGAGGTACCGTGGTGCTCTCTGCAGCCACGGGAGGCGTGAGGAATGAATGCCCATTCACGTTTAACATCAGCTTCTGTGGCACATGATCCTCCCCAGCGCTGCGAGGCAGAGCCATCCTGACAACAGCAGAGTCAAAAGGAACCCAGACAAATGTCAGCATTCATGCAATTTAACAAAGCTCCCCACTTGTTTTTACAAAAAAAAAAAAAAAAAAAGGAAAAAAAAAGCCCCGAAATGTTTTAAACAAAAGGAAATGTCCTTCATTCAACACTGGTGAAATCTTTCAGCGCTGTCAAAGCGACTTCAAAGCTTTCTCCACATCTGCCTGCTCCAGCCAGGCACTGCTGCCTGTCCTCAGGCCTTTGTGATGTACCCCTCTCTGATCAGGAAGTCATAGATTTTCCTGGTTTTGTTCACATCAATCTTGATGAGGGCTCGAGCCTGCGCCAGTCTCAGGCCTCCCTGTTTGTTGCACTCGTTCACTAAAGCAGCTTTATACTCCAAATAGGCTCCAGGGACCAGCCTCACCATCTGACAGAGCTGCAAGACAAAAGGTGAAGTTAATAAACACCAACACTTGCCGTGTTCTCCCGTTCCCAGAGCCCTGCTGGGGGAGGAGCACGGGGAATGTTTTCCTGAGAACACTTGCAGCGTTTCCCTGCACAGGGCAGGCACACGGGAATGCTGTTGGCATCCACAGGTAGGGAAGGGAGGAGCCTGCTGGCTGCTGCATTCACAAACACTCCCGATGGAAAATAAAGGAGGAGGACGAGAGCAAGGCCTGGGCTGGCAGGAGCAGGGCTCTGAGTGTGCCCTGTGTGGGCGCTGCTCCTTCCCAAGCCCGGGAAGCACACATGCCACACTTGGAAGCAGCAACTGGGCTGGCTGGGAGCCAGGGAGGGCATCTGGCTGCTAATCCCCTGCAGACTCAGGCTCTAATGCCTTCCACAAAAGCAGCTCCCTCTGCACAAGTCTGGCGTGGAGGCTGTGCAGGGAAGGCATTCTGTGGCTGGAAGTTTGGTGAGGAATGGCTGTGCACAGCCCCTGAGCTGTTTGGCTGCACAGCTCCTGCTCAGCTCCCAAATTCCAGCTGCCTTCCAGGAGCACGGCATTGCTCCTGCTGGAGAAACTGTCTGTCTCCTCCCTTTAATAAGGAAATGCTTCGTGCTCATTCCTCACGGATAGGAAATTGCAGAATTCCTCAGCCCTCAGACTTTCTGTCTCAGCTGACCAGGAAATCAGATTCCACACACACACTGATGTCCTGCCACCATTATTCCTGTGCTGAATGGAGCAGAAATGCCAGTTCCAGCAAAGCCAGGAGCCGATTCCCAGTGCTGCCAGCTGCAGCCAAGGGAAACACGCACAGAGGGGAGGCTGAGGTACAGCTGTGCTTCCTGGGCACTGCAGCCTGCCTGGGGCAGCCTAAGGACACCTCAGGGCTTCTATGAAGAAATAATAATCTCTTTTTTCAGTATTGTTCACTGAGTTAGAGGAAGGGCCTGCACTGGGCTGAAAAACAACCAGTGTTCATTAAGAAAAATTAACCCCTGTGCTCAGCCCAGCCTCAGAGAGCAGGCAGGGAGATGGATGTGGAAACAGCACCAAATATCACCCTGGTGCTCTGCTCCTTTCTTTGCTACATCAACCAGTTTGTGCTGTGTGAGTAGCACAGGAGATCAACTGGAAACCCTGAATGATTTCTGTGAGAAAGGAAGAGCAGCCAGGCCTGTGCCTGAGGTGACATTCACAGCTCCACAGGCACGGTGTGGAGACACAGATGATGGAGATGGTCCTTCCATCCTCTCCTCACCTCCTTCTCCTTCTCGTTGAGCTTCTCGGTGCCCGGCAGGCCGGTGAGGTTCAGCGGTGGGGCACTCCTTCTGCCTGGGCATGGGGAGGAAAAGCTCCATCAGAAAAGCCCTGTCAGAACCAGAGCAGCCTGGTGTGGATGCTCCTGGGCTCTGCCAGGGATGGGGAGGAAAAGCTCCATCAGAAAAGCTCCATCAGAACCAGAGCAGCCTGGGCTCTGCCAGGGAGGCACTCCAACCCAGCTGGAGCCAGGTGTTTACAGACAGGGTTAGTCAGGGCTCAGCAGAAAGCTCTGCTGATGCCACAAAAGGTTTGGTTTTGCAATTTGAAGCTCTGTGGATGTTGCACGAGACTCGTGAGCTGTTGGTTTTTGGGAGGAACTGCAGGACAAAAGCTCTGTGTCAGACTGGCATCAGGCATGGCTCAGCCCAGCTGACTGTCCCACTGCAGGGAGGGTGTGCCAGGTGTGCTGAAACCAGCGCCTTGTAAGGATGATGAGACTTTTTATTGCTGTGATTAAGCCAATTTCTCTCTGGCATTACTGACAGCTTCATGAGGCACAGTTTTCTTCAAATGCCTTTAAATACCATGCAGGTATTGCAAGGCAGATTTGTTTTGCAATTCCCTGTTTGGGCATTGATTTTTTTGTCTGTTAGGATGAACAGTTCTGAAGGAATATTTATCACAAGCTCATCTGGTGTTTATCACTTTCACTATTGTTTCTATATTATTATATAAACAACAGTTATAAGTTATTGTTTATTTTGCTGTTACCTTGCATAGCCTAACTTTCACAAGGGCTGCCTGCTTGCAGACAGCTTTTTTCTCTAATAGTTGTTTGGTTTTTTTTTTTCCCAACTTGCAGATCTCAGGACAAAGTTTGGGTTATTTATTCACATTGAAAAAAGTCTCTCACCCTGTGCTGTGGGCTGCATATTTAGCACTGTTAGAGATAGGTGTGTATCCCAGCATAACTCCCCAAATTTGGTGAAGTGATGAGACCTTGGGAAATGTGCAAAAAGAAATATTTGTTTTTCCCAAGGATGCTGCCCTGGCCAGGTCCTGCCCTGGCACTGGGAAGTGTCTGTGTCTCTGGGCATCTGCAGGAACAGAAGGGATCTGGCTGGGTGTGAGGAGCTGAGCAGAGGGAGCTGGGGACTGGGGAGAAGCTGCAGTGTGAGTCTGTGGGAGGTGTAAAGGAAGTTATTTCTCAGCACTGCTCCCCCTTCCCATGGCATGGGGCCACTGTGCTAGGAGGGACACGACAGAATTCAGTTTTACTCTTTTATAAACCCAGAAAATACCACACACACACACACACAAACTACATGAAATAAAACGTATCAAGGCTGCAAAGTCAAGAGCTCAGAATCTAGAAGTGAAGCATTAATTTGCCCTCTTGTATATTCAGAGTGATGCAGCCTTTAATTAGAGCCACGTGGCAGCTCTTCCCCAGCATCCCTGGGCAGGATGTTTGCTTCATTAGCAGCTCTATGGTATTCTGTTTGGGTTTTGTTCCACATGTGATGCTGCTTGTAAACACCGTGAGCTATCACACTGCACAGGCAGCACAGTCCCCTCCATGGGACACTGGATCCCTGACTAACAGGGAACTTCATCCCTCATCCCAGATCTTCAGCTGGAAGACGCTGTCCTCCCCTCATGGACTCTGAGATACACAAAGCTGGTTTTTATCCAAAACACCAGATCTTGGCAATCACCAAACAGGTTCAGGACAGTCTGGAGTGCCCTGACTCACTGCTTGGCATCCTGACCCAAATCTACCAGGAGGAAATGAGGGAGAACATATAAACCCAGTGTCCACCTCTGAGAGTTCCATTCAAGTGGTTTAACAGCATCCACATAAAAAACTGGGTGTAGGGACAGAGCCAAAGCCATTTTGCCTGACAACATTTAACAACCTTGTAGTAAAGCTTTATCCCAGTCTCAGTCACCCCATGACCTCAACAAATGGGATGGGAATTTATTTATGAGGACCTTGACTGACCCCTGAATCTGTCCTGACTGGGCACTGAAAGAAGATGGGGTCCTCTTGGTGGAAATACCCTGATTTGTGCTTACAGACTGTGAAAATTCTTTTGTTTCCTGCCTTGCTAATGTAGCTTTAGGATGGGTTTTGACCTCTAGTCAGAAAAATCTAGAAATTCAGCAAAAAATCCTGCAGGATATGTGAGTGGAATGACTTGCAGATTGATGTGATGTTGACTTAAGCGGTGCTTAACCATGAGGCTTGAGGACTGACACTTTGGCACTCGAGAGAAAGAGTCAGAAAAAGGCTGTCAGAGAAATATTACTGTTTTTTGGCAGACACCATCTAACACTTACCTGTAGTTGAAGGAACCGGTACCGTGGGAGTCACGCCAGAATCACTGCAAAGAAAAGAAATTTTCAAATTGCCTTCAAGTTTTTTTAAGCATAACTGCATGTGTTGGCCCTGAAATTGCTTCTTCCACAACTTGTAATAATTATACAATTCAACTTGCATAACCCAGGCCCTGACTAGGAGTCAACAGGATTTATAAATATTTAGTGTTCCCACATCGAAAAATATGTGTGGAACCTGTTAAAAAACCCAACAAAGAAACGTGGAGGGGCACACAATTAAAAATGCAGTGGAGATTGAGTGGGGAAATTCCAAACCATCTCCTGCACACAGGATGCACTTCCTTTACGTTTGCTCCTTAAATCCAAGTGCTCGTGCAGGGTGATGACACATTAATAATGCTGCTACATCTAAAATCATCTGAAATATTTCAGGCATCAGCTGTACCCTCATTAATATCCATAAAGAGCTCATTTCCCTCTGTGACTTTATGAACAGCAGCTCAGTTCCTGAAATCTAAATTTGAGCAAACGGAGGGGTTGAGTCCCTCCTTTGCCTGCACTCAACAAGCACTATTGCTGTCACCCACCTTTCTGCCCTTCTCAATTCTGCAGGCTGCTCCCACCTTGATAAACTGGGAATGGATTTGTGACTATCAGGCAGGAAAATGTGTTGGATGCAAAGTGAATCAAGGATCCCAGGAAGGTTTGGGTTGGAAGGGGACCCCGAAGCTCATCGCTCCCAGGGCAGGGACAGCTCCCAGTGGAACAGGCTGCTCCCCAAGCCCCTGGCAGCTGGATGGGGCAGTGCCAGGCTGGGGCAGGTTCCCTGGGCAGTGCTTACATGTCTGCCTGGCGGCTGAGCCACTGCTGGCAGGCGCTGCTGTCCTGGATGTACTGCAGCACCTCCGAGAGCATCGTGCGCTTCAGCCGCTCCTCGTCCCGGCTCTTCTTCAGGTGCTCGTAGGTCCGGGCACCTGTGGCACACACACACACAGCCTGCCCTCAGCACCTGCCTCATCCAAAACCACCCCACACTGCCTCGTCCCTGCTTCAGGGCATTTTGGGAAGGTCAGCAGCCTGCCACCCCCAAGGCCTTGTCCCTGTTCAGGAGATTTTGGGGAGGTCTCTGCCCCCGGCCCAGCCTCTGCTGCTCTCCCTCGTGGTGACCCCTTGGCACCAAAAGGGATCAGATCCCACCCTGCACCCTTCCCCCTGTTAATTTCAGGCCAAAACCAAACAAAAAGAGCTCCCATGATCCAATTCCAGGATAAAGCAGGGTATTTTGTTATGTGGAGGTCTTGGGCCTCTCTCCAGATATCACAGGTGTTGACAGGCAGTGAAAGTGTCCCAAGATAAAGCCCTGAGACCACTGTGCCATGACACAAATATTTTAAATTAAGCTTTTGCAAAGTGCTACCCAGAGCAGAGCTGTGTTAGACACTGATTTCCACACTGAAGGCTCAGATCACTCTAAACCAGCCCAGCTGGACTGTGCATCATTGCTGAAGCCTTGCTCAGCCCCAGAGCCTCTCTGAGCTAAGTGCCTTTTTATTCAACACATCCTGGATGTTGTAAAATCATCCTTCCCTTCCTTGATGGATGGGAATGGGCTGAATAATGCATCAGGTACTTACTGCAGAAATTGGTGATGCCTGCTGCTCTGTATTCCTGCAGTCTCTTTATTTCCCTGCGCAGCTCAAATTCCACTGTGGGACCCCACGAGGTGGCAGAAGAGAAAACCAGAAAAGCAAAAGTGGGTCAGTGGGGTGGACTGGGAATGTGGCTCTCTGTTATCTGCCTGCTCAGCTCAGCTCTGAGCACACAAACCACAGCCAGGGGTTACCCTCCCTCCACAGGATCTCAATATCTCTGTGTCCCCGTGCTCCTCGGTCACAGATTGCAGCTGGTTTCTAGAATTTCTGTGCTCTGAAAAGGCATTTTCTCTTCATGCTTTGATAGTCCCTTTGCCCTACCCTAGACAAGGCAAATAACAATACTGTGGGATTTCTAGAAGGCATTTCAATAGCTTTGAGGAACTGCTCCAGCCAGGCTCCTTATACATCAAATATTCTCTTGGAACTATGATTTTCCAGGCTGGACCTTCCAAAATTTTTCCTTGCAGACAATTTTTTTCCTGCAGTCAGGAAGATGAAATTATGAAATGTTTCTTTTGCTCAGAGATATTTCCTGTCTGCTGCTTTCATCAGCTGCCTTCCAGCACTGCTCAGCTTTACAGGGAACAAGTTTCCTTGTGAATTTATTTCCTGCTGCTGCTCAGAGACCTGGGTAGTGCCTGTACCTGTCAGGTTCACCTGAGGATCTGCAGCCACTACAACAACAAAATTTGCAAGACTCATGACTTTGCAGGATCATGCTTTTGGTATTTCACACTGGCTGTCCTGAAAACACGGGCACAACTTGGTAAATGCTTCGTTCTTTCTAATGAGCAACAACTGTCCCAGTTTAAGCCACAGCATGAAGCAGGATGTGGTGACTGGGACTGGAATCTGCCTAAATGCAGGCTATGGGATGATTCAGGGATGGAACAATGCCTCTCCCCTAAGGTAAGGACATAATGACCACTGCACTATGTAATTATGTGACATTAAGTACTTTAACGTGTGTCTTTCAAAGAATTCACTCTACTGCCAGCTCCCAATCTCTCCACATAATATAGGGATTTTATTCTTCCCCTGATACAGAGTCCCAGTAAATAAACAGAGCTCTTCAGATAAAAAAATATTACCTCTCCCACATGACCAGAATGTTCAGTCAGCTGCAAACTCAAACAAAGAGCTGGGACACAGTTTAGTGGAAAAACCCCACTGGCTGCTCACTGAACACATCAAACCACAGATGCATTTGCTTTCCTGAGGCGGTTAGGTGGGGAGGAGGAGGAGGAGGAGGAAGAGCACCTCCTGCCCCCAGGACAGGCTGCAGCCCCCTGACTCACGTGCGTGGCTCTCGATGAACTTGTCGTGCTCCAGGGGCCCCAGGATGCGGGCAAACCTCCTCATGGTCTCGTAGAGCTCCTGCACCTCCTTGGGGTAACGCCTTTCCAGGACTGCAGGGACAAAGGGCCACGTGTCACCACCCCTGCTGCCAGGGGACAACACCTCTGGGGGGCTGCTGGGAGCCCCAGCCTCAGCACCGCCCCAAAATCCTCATTTTGGCCTTTTTGGTGCCACAGCCACAAACTGCTGAGTGAAAAGCAACAGAAGTTACAGCCCTTAAAGTCCTTAAGGCATAAAGGGTGATATTTAAATGTTGCTCAGTCATTTCTCACAACACTGAGGTGCACTTGAAAGGCCTGGGTTTCACCTTGCCCCTTCTCCCCACTCAGCAGAGCCCAAATGCTTCTCAGGAGCAATTTTGAGGCAAGAACTAAAGCACTGGGCTGGGAGTAGTTAGGACCAGACAGCTGGAAACAGCTGGGGCAGGAAATCTGCTGGAATTTAGAACATCTGAATACATTCCAGTATGAACAAACCACACTGGTGACCTGGAAGTGGTGAATGTGTGAAGCTTTGCCACTTTGAAGTCAAGCAGTTACACCTGATACTCACTCTGAAATTTTCTGAGGTTGATCAGGCCATGATCTCTTATAATTCTGGAAATGAAAGAAAATTATATTAATAAAGGCCATTACTCCTGCACTGCCTCACAAACACAAAGGCTTCAGAAGAAACTTTGATTTAGGCCATCAGAGGAGTCTGAAACTAAACATGAATGAAATTTCCATAAGCCCTGGGCTGGCTGCAATGGAAACATGATGCAGTGTGTCTTTAATCAGGGTAAATTCTGGGCAGTGGTGTGCATTAGCACTGAGCACAAAGGGAGCTGCAATCACTTTAAAGGTTGGAAATTGCTTCTTTAGGCACACATTTCACATCCACAGCATCTTACAACTTGTCCTTCCAAAATCAGAGGTAATGAATGTCTCATGAACATCATTCCCAACTTCCCTCTGCTAAAGCACAGGGTACAGCTGGCTGTGAATGCCACCCCTGGCACAGGAGAAATGCATTTTTCCATGGCAGCCTGGGTTTTAAAGGGGTGATGGAGGTAACTGTGGGCTTGAGCTGCTCCTGCTGGGATCAGGGGAGGAGCAGAGGGACAGCAGGTGCCTGACAAGTCCCTTTGTCACTGGGGCGAGCAGTGCCACGTGCTCATTGCTCTGTGGTGACTCCACGGTGGAAAATAAAATACCACAGAGCTGGGCTGGCCAGGGCAGCCCAGAGCCTGCCCTGTGAAATCCATGACATTTCCTCTGCTGGGCACAGAACCTTCCTGTCCCGTGCAGAGTCACCTTTCTGACAGTGGCATCAGTGGCTTTTGGGGCATTTTCCACATTTCTGTCCCATCCTGCTGCTGGAACTTCACAAAACCTGACACTGGTGTAACCACAAGAGTTATGGAGAGCCCTGCAGCACTTTCCTTCAGCATGACAAGATGGATCATCATGGAAATTACACCACATAAATACTTTTTATTTATGAATGATGAAGAACCAGGTCAATCCTTGCTGTCACTCAGCAGAACTGTGGAGTTTTATGAGAAGGACTGGAGCAGCCTCATTTCAAATCACTAATCCTTCCACTATGGACTAATCCAGCAAGATATAATTTTAAATATTGAACAAAGTACTTCAAAGTTAGAATAAAACTTAATTTAATTAATAGATTGAGTCATTCTAGAGCACTGTCAAATGAGTTGAATAAATTATTCAAGCCCACGTCAGCAATTGAGTTATCTTCAGTATGGAAAACTAACTTGGGGGCCACTAGGATTTAAAAATAATGATGCAAATATTTCTGGGGGAAAAGTGGGGGTCCAGCAATCAGTCACAGTCTGGCAGGATTTTTCTGCGGCAGGAAATTCATGGTGTGCAATCCATCAGCATTGCACAGGGAAGGGAACGCACAGTGACTGCTTCAAAACTCACTTTTTCCGTCTCTGTCTCTCCTTCAACCTGGAATGATAGATATCTACAACTGCAATCTTCAGAGCTGCAAAACACACAGATTAAAGAATTCATCAGCAACCGCTGCAGGAGGCTGGATTCCAAGCTTTTATGTTCACATTAGGCAGAAATGGTTTAAAAATCCTGAGGCAGTTTCACAGGGGCATCAGCTCAGTGCAGCCCTTGCTACCTGGGGAAGGTTTCCTTTGCTTCCTCCTGCCAAATCCATCCCTGTAAACACACTCATGTCAGCATGAACCTGGGAACTCCTCTCTCCTCCTTCTTGGACTGTTCTGCCATCTGCAAATATTTGTTCCTTCACACCTGCAATAGCCAATATTCCCTCTCCTGAGGTGGCATCCCTGGGCACAGGTGTTTGCCCAGAACAGGGAACCCCAAAAAGCAGACACAGCTCTCACTGTGAGCACTCAAAGCAGCCTTTGCTGCAGTTGTTAAAGACATCTGGAAGGTTCCAGCTTGTTAACTTCCAAACTTACCTGTCTGCCAGGAGAACAAAGCACGGCTCAGGACAATGTGAGGAAGCCCAGGAAAAAGCCATGCTCATTAGGAATCACATCCTTCCCCAAATCAAACCTGCCTGAGCCCTCACACAGCCTGCAGCTCCTTTCTCCTGCACACATTAGCTTAATAAACTTTTTTTTTGGGTAAATTCTTAAAAGACAAGATAAAGAGACACCTATCACCTTCCCTTCCCTTGCTCTGTTGGATAACACACAAATTCTAGGTCATTAAATGAGTGTAGAGGAGACTGATTTTTAATTTTTTTTTTAAATTAATGTTAATAATTTCCTCTTAGAAGGAAGAGGCTCCAGGCTTGGCAGTGGTTTGGAGGCTGGGACACAACAAGCAGATTTTGGGAAAAGGGGAACTGGGGTGGCCCAAGGGGGGCAGAACCCAGGATCCATTCCTCTCTGTAGTTACACAAAAAGAGCAAAACTGAGAGTGGCAGTTTATTGATTGTACTCTGGGATTAATAATTAATAATGCAATTAAGAAGTGTGGTTCTGTGCCTCTCTGAAATATGTATGTAGGTGTAAACAGCAGGAAGCCCCAGCCCGTGGGAAATGCATCCCTGCATCCCTCTGGGTAATCAAATTTCATACAAACAGGGACAAAGCCCAGAGGCTGTGGGGATTCACTCAGGAGCTTGATCCAACAAAAACCCTTCAGTTTGTCCCAAATTGCTCTGACATTAATCTAAGAGTTAAAGATTCTGTATGAGCTGGGGGGGTGCTGCAACATTCCTCCTTGTTTTCCCAAATTTCTTGCATTTTCCAGCATCATTGTGTATTTTCATAGCGAGGGATTTAAGTTTCCTAATTTAAGAACAAGCAGAGACAGCAAATTCTCCTTCGTGCTAAAATGTGGGGATGAGAAATTGGGAATGCATCAAGTTAAACATGAATGAAATCCATTAGGAAGGGCTGGAATCGGAGCCAATTTACAGAAAATATTTTTGTAGTTTTGAAGCCCTCTGCAAGCTCAGCCAACTTGTTATTTTCTGGGGTTTGTGTGGGCAGAACTTAATAAGTACATGCAGAAACTGCACTGGAGAACCTCTATAAATATCACAAGCAATTATGCACCTCTAACCATGGAGTTTTGATGCTTTCACCTGGGTGCACAATATTCTAAAGAAATGATGATCAGATGGGGAGAGGAAGGAACAAACGAAGGGAAAAAAATGGAGTTTCTGCTCGCAGAGAAATGAGCATTTCTGCCACAAGCCCTTCTGGAGGGGCTTTTGTTTTTAAGATCCAGACTCGGGCAGGACAGGCATTGCCAAGGGTGGAATGCATGAACGGCTCTGAGTGCTCCAGTGCCCCTCAGAGCATGGAAATGAGACAGGAGATGCTGGGGGAATGGCAATGCCCTGCAGGGCTCTGTTTGTGCTGCTGCTGGGGACAACCCAGGCTGGCCCCGTGCTCAGCGTCCACTCTGGCCTCTGATAAGGCTCTGATAAGGCCCCACTGATAGGCAGCAATTCAAGGCTCCTTCCTCCATTCAAAAAAACCCACAAAACCCCAAATATTTTGGTTTCTCCAGAGCGTGCCCAAAACACTTCCTTTGCTTTTCATTCCTGCCCGGCCTCACCGGGTGCGCAGCAAAGTTTGTGGAACACCCATGAGTGAGAGCTTTGCTCCATGCAGGGAACCTGCCTCGGCAGGGGAGGCACAGACAATGGGGAGAATGCAAATAATCCCAGCGACAGCCTGTGGGATGAGCTGGGGGGCTGCAGCCCAAATCCAGGCACTGGAGCACAGCAGGGCCATGGCACGCAGGTAAATCTGCTTTTGGGGCACGGCAGAGCTTGCACAGCACAGCAAACTCTGCCAGGCAGGACATGGAGCTGCAGCTCAACTTCACATTCCCCTGCCACTTGCAGCCCATTTCCACTCCCTCCTAAATCTGTGGTTTCAGCAATTACTTTGCAGCGTTAGAAGTGAAAAAAATCATTTACATGAGAAGGGGGGGGGGAAAAAGCTGGGAAAAAAAGATAAATTACCAACGTTCTAATTCAGCCTGATGAAAACTTGTAGTTCATGAAATATTCAAGCACTGTGGGCTGAATTAGGCTTGTAACTGGTTGGTGCTTTTGATCTGTCCATTATGTTTTTGTGTAACTGCAATATGGATTTGCATGCCCTCACTGTACTGCCAGCACTGAACAAAAGGGAACAATTCCAGAATTGAACTAAAATATCAGAGATTTCATAGAAATTTTTGCCAAGAAGTGGCAGAATGATGTCTGTGACCTCCTGTGAGGTGGGAAGGCAGCAGGTACAGGTTCTGTGATCCTCACAAAAGCTGCCTGGGAGCCTTCCCACCTTGTAATAAATAGCATTTTCTTGTGGGAATACCAAGAACTTGTTTAGAGTGACACAGGGAAATCTGACAGATAAAATACATGAGATAAAGCTTTAAATATAAATATCATATAAAAGATATACATCAGAAAATACATCAAGCAGCTCAGATCCAGAACTTCTTAAAAAATAATTTTTACAAAATATTACAGAAAGCAGTGTGGGAGAAGGGGAAGAAGGGGGAATTCCACTGCAGTGGAAGCACAAATGTTCCTGTGGGATGTGCAGCACCAAGCTCTGGTGCACCAAGAGAAGGAAAGAGAGACCACAGGAATTGCACTGGGGTGTCCCAGGGCCCAGCCTGAGTGACTTGCAGAAAATGCAATATGAAAGTCATTTTCAAAAGTTAATCTTGAACCCAGTGAGGTTTAACAGGAAAACAAACTGAGGATTTTCCTCCCCACCTGAGCCTGAGGCTGTGAGGCCTTGTTTGGGTTTCTCTGGGTTATGAAATGTGTTCAATCCCATTTTTGTCCCATTTTTGTCCCATTTTCATTCTCACCCAGGCTGCCTCACTGCCCATCCCAAAGCTCAAAGCTCTTTAAACCACCCCAGCTCTCAAGAGCCCCTTGTTGAGCATTTCCTGCCCCTTGGGCTCTACAGCTGAGCTTCAACTTCGGCCAAGCAGAGTGGGCAGCTCCAAACCTGCAGCACAGGCAGCATGAGGCTCCTGCCTTTTGCTGTATTAAATACCAGGGGTGAAAGATCTCACTGCAAACTCTTCAGGAAAGCATTCCTGCTCTCCCCAAGGGAAGGAAAGAAGCTGGCTGGGCCCTGGGGCTCATTCTGGCCAGGTTTTCTCTCCCACAGGGGCACATCTGGGGAGGCAATGCCAGAGTTGCTGGGCTCAGAGACCCCAGGTGCAGCTGGCCAGGCTCTGCCAGGCTCTCTGCACACTGCAAATCCCTGCCAGCCCTTCCCAAACTCTGCAGGGATGGAGCAGAGAACACCCAATGCAATTACGCAGTGAAAATCTTGCACGGGCTGGGGGGAAGTACTTTTTCACACAACAGGTAATTGAATTGTGAGCTCCTAATTGGATTGTGGCAGTCCCTGGTGCAGGATGTGCAGCAGCACAGGCAGATCCAGCTCCAGCAGGGGTGAGCAGGGCTCCTGCAGGATGGGGGCTGCCAGGAGGGCAGTGCTGCACAGCCCCCTTGTCTGAACGTGGTTCTGTCATTAATGGGCAGAAATAGGAGATTATTCTGCTTTTTCAGCTCACAGGGACCCAGCACAGGATGAAACACAGAGAGCTGGCAGGAGGAGTCCCTGCCCTGGCCTCCAGCCAGTTTCCCCTCAATAGAAGCTGAAAGGGGAGAGGCTGACACAGGACCCAGGAGCTGCCCTGAGCCAGGGCAGTTTGCATTCCCAAAGCTCCTGCGTGCACTGCTCCACTTCCAACTGGCTTTTTTCACTTTGCCAAGCCTGTCTGTACGTAACAGGGATTTGTCTGTCTCCAAGGGATGCAGAGGCTTTAGCTCAGAACTGCCTGACACAGATGGCAGAGTTCTGAGGCACAAACACAGGGCTCCTAAAGCCTGGGTGTACTCACAAACGTGGGGAAATGCAGGATCTTCTCCTCTCTGTGGATTAAAATGTCACTTCAGTAATTCCTGTTACTGCATGTGATTAAGGCAGCATGCCCACAGAAACTCAGAGCAGGAACTGGGCTCATCAAATCATCTTCACAATAAAAGGAAGTTGTCACACACAGCTGATGCTACTCTAACTCAGGGCATGCTCAACATGTGAGAAATCACAGCTTTGAGTCCAACACTTTTAATGTGTTTCACATACACTGCACACCTCCCTGCTGCCTGCATTAACACCCACCTGATAGATTTAATGCATTAAAAACCCAAACATGAAACCCCATACATTAAAAGTGTATGCTCCCTTTTAAAGTGTGTGCAGAAAGAAATGAAAAGCTGCACAGGCCTCTGAAAGAGTTTCAGCCTGGGTACAAAAATGTGGCACTTACCATGCAAAATGTCTGAATCATCTTCCACAAAATCAATATCTCTCAAATCCCACTCGGCATAGTTGTCAAACTCCTGTGCAGAGGTGATTAATACAGGGTCACTAACGAGCATAAAACATTGCCCTCAGGTTTCAGAACAGGCTGGAGGAGTGGGACAGAGATGTTCACCCAGACACAGGGCACAGGATGGGACAGAAATGCTCACTCACAGGGCACAGGGACAGAGATGTTCATCCAGACATGGGGCACAAGGACAGAGATGTTCACTCACACACAGGGCACGAGGCTCCATCCAAACAAACAGCCCAGGGCAGCTTTGCCTGGGGGCAATGTGTAAATGCTCCCCCAGGGCTGCAGCTGGAGCAGGATGTTGTGACAGGACACTGGAATTAGCCAGCTCATGGGATGGAAATCAGGATGTCCTGAGCTGGAAGGGACTCACAAACACCCCCAAGCCCAACTCCTGGCCTGGCTCAGGACGCCCCCCTGTGCCTGAGAGCCCTGGCTGGGATTTTGGGGTGCTGATCCTGCTCAGAGACCCAAACCCGAGGCCCTGTGGGGCTGAACTGGTTCCTGCATGGACAGGGGCAGGAATGGGGCCTGTTCCGTGCCCAAAGCATAGGAAGCAATGCAGATCTCCCAGTGATGTGTGGAGCAGGGAGTGCGCTCCCCTCAGGCAGGGACAGTGCTGGAGCCGGTCCTTAGGCCCAGCAGCCCAATCCCAGTGCCCAGCAGGGCCACCTGGATGGACAGCTGGACAGATGGACAGGCGGACATCTGGTGGCAGCAGCAGGGCCTGCAGCCTGTGCTCCTGCCCTGCCTCTGCAGGCCACCAGCGCCACCTCGGGCACCAAAGGCCTCATTAACACAGGGCTTTAATTACCAACATCTCACCTTGGGAGGGAGGATCAGAGAGCAGCTCCTTACAGGAGGATAAAATAAATGTAAAATTAAATGGGAGGAGAGTGTTTCTTACCTCAACAAAGTCAGCTCTGGCTGGCATGTAGCCAGCCATGTCCCTGGAGAGCAAGGAGTCAAAGGTGGGCCGTGGGGGATCATCAGCAGCTGCAAAAAACAAAAGGTTTCCAGCTGTTGAGTGGGGCTTGGGATCTTCTTTTAAGGATCTGTAAATAGGTGTTTATTTTGCAGGAAAAGTGGGAATAATTAGCTGAAGAAAAATACCCTGATTGGGCTTTTATTTGGTGTTATAGTCAGAAAAGACAGAGTTCATCCAGAGAAAAATGCAGCAATCTGAGATCTCGGCAGTATTCTCAAGAGTCAGACACAAATTCAAGGTAATAAACAGGTAATAAAACGTAAACTTTGCATTTTGGAGCTCAGCATCCCCCTGTAAAGCCCTGCAGACCCCTGGGGCTCAGCGTGCAGGCTCCTTTAGTTAATGGCACCAGGAGTGTTAAATCTGCCTCCTTCTGGGGGCCATTGCAGGGCTGCAATGAGAGGCATAGAACTCCCAGTTTTTACAGCCCTTCCCAGCTGAGGAGCTCGGCGTTTCACAGACAACACCAGCCTGGGGCTCACGGAGCACTCAGCTTTGTGTGTCCCAGGGCACTGATAAAGCAGGCTGAGGCACAGGGCACATAAAAATATCAATAACAGCCAGGGACACAACCAAAATTGCCCAGTTCCCACTGCTCAGCTCCAACCACTTCAGTGGGAAATGTAAAGTGCCTGGCCCAGGGGGGCTGGGGAGCTCTGCCATGAGCAGCTGCCAGACCGGGGGAATGCTAAATATGTGAAATGCAAGGAAAACTGAGAATTTGTGAACTTGCTGCAGACTTTTTTACAGGCAGCTTTCAAGGGAGAGGTGTGAAATCAGCATAGCTGAAAGGAGTGATTTTCTGGCAAATTGAATCAGCAGGCAGGCCTGGGACAGGGTGTGTGCACAGAAATGTGCACAGGAGCAGGGGGAATGTGGAAGGCAGAAACCCCTGCTCAGCTCCCTTTGCTGGGCAGGGTGAGAACCACACTGGGGTCTGTGCTGAGGGAGCTTTGGGGTGGGATAAAACACCCAAAACCTCTGCTGGGGTGGTTTCTGTGTTGTGGAGGATTTCTGTGTTGTGGAGGAACTCCTGCTTGTGAGACCCTGGTGTTTGTGTCAGACAAAGCTTTGGGGTGGGATAAAACATCCAAAACCTCTGCTGGGGTGATTTCTGTGTTGTGGAGGAACTTCTGCTTGTGAGACCCTGATGTTTGTGTCAGACAAAGCTTTGGGGTGGGATAAAACATCCAAAACCTCTGCTGGGGTGATTTCTGTGTTGTGGAGGAACTTCTGCTTGTGAGACCCTGGTGTTTGTGTCAGACAAAGCTTTGGGGTGGGATAAAACATCCAAAACCTCTGCTGGGGTGGTTTCTGTATTGTGGAGGAACTTCTGCTTGTGAGAACGTGATGTTTGTGCCAGAGCCTGTTTCCTGCCTTGCCCATGCAGCTGGCAGCCAGGAATCCATGCAGTGTGAAGGGAACCCCCCCAGAGCAGCTCCCAGCCCAGGTTATCCCCTGGGAATGAGGGCACACAGGTCTGGGGTACTCACAGTGGAAGGGAATGGCTGTCTCGTGGTGCTGAGCCTCCTCTGCCTGCCTCAGCTTCAGCAGCGTGGAGGCAAACAGGGGGTTGTTGATGAAGTGCTTCATGTAGTGCTTCTCACACTCCTCCTTGGACTTGGTGCACATCTGGTTGGCCACGTCCTGCCTGGGGTGGGGACAGGGGGAGATTTGGTGTGAACAACACAGAAATGTTGTTTTTTTAAAAATTTCTCCAGTGGGAAAAGGTGATTTTGGACGAGGGATTGGTTGTGTGCAGAGAGCTGGCCTGTGGTGGTGCCTGGACTCACACTCTCAGCACCAACACTCACATCTGGGTGCCAGGGAACATTTCTGGGAGCCCATGAACAATGAAATTCACTGATTTCATATGGGAAAACCTCTGGCTGATGGAATGTGCCTCATCTTTAACAGTCTTGAAATTTTACTGATGTTATTGGAGAGCTTTTTACACGTTTTACTGACTGCAGGTAATGGCAAACTCTGTGACCAGCTGTCAATCCCATTTCTGACAGCAACGTGCACCTGAGAACTCTCAGCTCTGCTTCTGTGCATTCTGGGGTTCTGCACTTTAAACACAACTATTTTTAATGAAGGAGGAGACAGATAGCTCATGTAAACAGGATCTGATACCCAGCCTGCCTTCAGCTGCTGAATTAGCGCCTCACCCACAATAAATCATTGATCAGTTAATGTGCACTGATGAAATCCACAGAGAGATCCAGGGAAAAGAAAGGAAAAGCTGCCCATCAGTGACTGAAATTGGCTGAGGCACAGAACTCTCACCAGTTCCCAAATCCACAGTCCATCACAGCTTCCAGGAGAGACATCTCCTCCTGGGCTGTCCAGTTGGGGTCCAGCACAGGGAAATCAGATGTCTGGGGAAGAAAAGAGAACAAACTGTGATCCTGTGCTCCAGCCCACCTCAGAAAGGGCAAACAAGTTCTGAACCACAGATAGAGATCATTCTGGTAGCTTTAAACTGCCACAAAACCTGATTGAATAATTATTGGATTACTCAGGGCATCGACCATAGCAAATCCTGGAACATGCAGTCTCTCCCAGCTGTAATTGCACCATGTTGTACCATGAAACACAGAAAAATTACTGGAGACTTTAAGAATTATTAATTTGGAGGGGGAAGAAACAGCCTGGAGAAAGAGAAGCCAATGTGCCTGGTTAAGGGACTGTGAGGTGCATTGTGCTACACAGAACAACAAAAAGATGCAGCTGGAAATGACTCCACTACTCCACTCTGTTCCAGGTGGATATTTTTCTTTTTTTAATAGTTTAAAACCTCTGAATCAAAGAATTGCATCTTCTTTCAGTGCAACATGAGTAAGCAAGGGGAGCTGTGAGAGCCCAGACCGAGCAGTGCTATCCCAAAGGAATATTTACCATTATCTCATAGGTGTGATCACTTTGGTGCTTCTTGTACTCAAATCCTCGGGTGAAACACTGCAGAACAAAAGACCAGAACTGTGTTACTTGTGCCCTGAAAGGATTTCCACTGGTCCCTTTTGCAACTCCCATTCTCTGCGCACGTCTCAGTGCTCCACCCTCCATCCCCCTGGTCACTCCCCTGTCCCTGGAGGGAGCAGGGGTGGCAGTGGCAGCCCGTGGTGGCCCTGGTGGCCCTGTCGGGGCAGTGGCAGCTGCTGGCACTCACCTGCAGGCACAGCAGGAAGGGAGGGGGCCCACACTCAGCACACTTCACGTAGGGCTCCGTCAGGTACGAGGAGCAGCCCCGGCACGGGGGCTTGTCAAAAGGGTCACCTGGGGAAGGCAGAGGGAATCTGCTGTCACACAGGCACTGTCACACCAGCAAACACAGCCCCTCAGTCCCCTGCGCCCAGCTGATGGTTCCTGTGGGCCCAGATTCTATGGATTCTATGGATTTTGAATGAACTCAACTGCGCAACAAAATTAATGGGGCTGTCAGGTTATAATGGCTTCAAACTCAGAGGGAGCAGGGTTAGATTGGAGAATTGGGAGGAAATCCTTCCCTGGGGGGGTGGGCAGGCCCTGGCACAGCTGTGGCTGCCCCTGGGTCCCTGGCAGTGCCCAAGGCCAGGCTGGATGGAGCTTGGAGCAGCAGGGACAGTGGCAGGTGTCTCTGCCCATGGCAGGGGGTGTAATTGGATGGGCTCTAAGGTTTCTTCCAACCCAAACCAGGCTGGGATTCCATGATTCTCACTTTTCCCAAGGAAATGGATTTGAACCAGTTCAATTATAAGTAGAGGAAAATCAGACAAAACTTACACTGCATCATTTGTGTGAGCACTAAAGCACGTCCCCACAGTGCCACATTTACACGTTTTTTGGGCACTTTCAGGGATGGTGACTCCAAAATCCCACTGCTCCAAGGAATGCCTGCACCATCAGGTTTTTCCTGAGCGGATTTCTGTGGTGGCACTTACTGCTGAAGGAGGCCAGGCGCTCCATCCCTGCCCTGCTGCTGCCTGTGCTCCCTGGGGTGAACCTGGCTGGCCCAAGCACCCACGGCGTGAGCCTGTCCCAAACTGCGGATCCCAAAGGGAATTCTGGGATCCCTCGTGGTGTGATCCTCCCAGGGTGTCCTGAGCAGCAGGCAGAAGGGCTTCAGCAGCCTTCAGACCCCATCCACACGGATCAGAGCCCCCTCTCTGGCTGTGGGGAAAAATCCAGCACGGAGATGTGGGGTCATGGGGACGCAACCCCAGAGTGAGGGTTCAGGGGAATGGATGTGTGAGAGTTATGCAAGGAAGTGCTCTGCACCTCCCAGAAACGCTTCCCATATCCCACTGCCCCTATCCCAGTTCTCAATTCCCCACATCCCAAACCCCACTCCCCATATCCCACTCTCCCATATACCAATCCCTGCTCAGCCGTATTCCAATCCCAACTCCCCATATCCCAGTCCCCACTCCCATTCCCCATATCTCAGTTTCCACTCCACATATCCCAATTCCCATATCCCAATTCCCATTCCCATATCCCAATTCCCACTCCCCCATAGCCCCATCCTCATCCCCATTCCCATATCCCCATGTCCCCATATTCCCATTCCCATATCCCCATATTCTCATATCGCCATCCCCATATCCCATTTCTCATATCCCCATATCCATCCCCATATCCCCATATCCCCGTTCCCATTCCCATATCCCCATACCCCCATACCCCCATACCCCCATATCCCCATGTCTCCCCATTCCCATTCCCTCCTGCCCCTCTCCCCATCACCGCCAGGCGGCGCCCCCGCCCGGCCCCGCCCCCTCGGCGGCCCCGCCCCCTCCGGCCCCGCCGCGGCCCGCGAGGCTCCGTGAGAGGCGCGCGCGCTCCCGCCGCCGCGCTCCCCGCGCCCGCCGCCGCCCGACCCGCGCTCTCCGCGCTGCCCCCCGGCCCTGCCCGGTGCCGGCGCGGCCCGCAGGGGGCGGCGGGGGGAGCCGGGGCCGCCGGGGCCGCCTCTCACCTCGCTCGGGGCGGCGGGTCGGGCCCGCGCGCGTGCCCGGCCGTGCGCACGCGCCGGGGCGGATGCGCGCGCCCCCTGGCGGAACACGGCGCGCGCCGCAGGCCCCGCCCCGCCCCGCCCCTCACGGGGCCTGAGGGCGCCGGGCCCGGCCGGGACCGGGGAGGAACCGGGACAGCGGGACCGGGGCTGGAGAGGGTCCGGGATAGCGGGAGCGGGGCTGGGCATGGACCGGGACAGCGAGACCGGGGCTGGGCAGGGACCGAGGCCACACCGCGGCACCGGCAGAGGCCGGTGTCCCGCGGGGAACAGCCCCGGGCCCCTCTGACCGCCCGGGAGAGCCCCGCGCTCCTCCCACGGTCACCGGAGCAGCTCCCCCCGGTCCTGACCGTGTTCGGTCTCCATCCCGGCAGCTCTAGAGGTGGGAAGGAGTGGATTTTATGGGAAAGGGTTCCCGTGGCACTGTGGGTGGCCGTGTGAAGCAGGAGCGGGAGGAACGGGCCCTGTGGGGGATTAAAACAGATAGAACGGACAGAATCCCGGAGCGGTTTGGGTGGATGAACCTTCAGGATCACCCAGTGCCACCCCTGCCATGGCACGGACACCTTCCACTGGCCCAGGTGCTCCAAACCTGTCCAGCCTGGCCCTGGGCACTGCCAGGGATGTGGAGCCTGTGCCAGGGCCTGCCCACCCTCACAGGGCAGAGCTCCTTCCCAGTATTCCGTCTGACCCTGCCCTCTGGCAGTCTGAGCCATTCCTCCCTGTCCATCTCTGCTCCTTGTCTGGACTATTTACCAACAAGACTAAAAACGCTGGCAACTATTTCCTTTTCCTTTTGGGTGTGAAAAATTATGGGAAAAAAATTAGAATTTGGGAGAGGCAAAGTGTGGAATGTCAATGAAATATTTATTGCTTCTGCTAACAGGTTTTTCCTGCATCTGGGAGTCAGGACTCTGGGTGGTTAAGGGAAGGAATCAGCCTGTGGGGATCTGGTTCCTGCTGTTCTCAGGAAAGGTGATGCATCTGCAAGGTAAAAATGCTGTCCTGGAGCCTGCAGCTTTCTGTGAACTTGAGGTATTTCAGTGCTGAGGGGCTTCCTGTTATGCCTCTGGCATGGGAATGAAAAAATATTTATAAAGAATATTAAAAATCCATGGAGTCTTAGAGGTTTATCCAAAGGGTCTCAGCTCAACTCCCAACCTGTTTGTCCCTCCAGCTGCACTCCAGGAAGATCCAGGTGGATACTCTGGGATGAATTCAGTGCTCACACGCTGCTACCCAGAGGTTTTAGTGAGTGAGGTCACTTTCATTTGCTATTTGGAATTATTTGCTGATAATTTGTGCTCCCCTGCAGCCCAGTGCAGGAGTGCAGGCCGAGCCCCAGGTGAAACACAACAGTTTTGTGGTTCAAACCCAGAGGCCACACACACAGAAATCATGGGGAGCATTATCAGGCCTCTCTCTCCCTGCTCTCGGAGGGATTTCTCGGCGCTGTTGGGAGAAGTTTTTGTGGCGTTTTCTGCCTGGGACACACGGTGGCGATGGAAATCACCTTTTCCTGCACAGCTCCTGCCTTTGGACTGCTCGCTAACCACACGTGTGTGTCCCCCAGCATGGGAGGACGAAATATTTCTGTTCAATCCCAAATAAACGCTGACGTTTCAATTGGCCGCGGCTCCAGAGAATCCAGAACACTTTCTCGTAGGCACTGGTATTATTTAAATTCAGATGTTTGTGTTAAAAACAAGAGCCAGTGGAGGGCTGGTGTTTGGCTTTAAAAGGCGATCTGACCTTTCTCTGTGTTCCTTGGTGCCAGGCTGGCAGTGTCACCGACCCCTCACCCGGGCTGATCTGGGCTGTGTTTGCACTGGGGCTGTCACCAGAGCCTGGTCAGGAGAGGTGGGACCAGCACTTGGCGTCACCAGAGGTAAAAACATTTCCCCCGTGTGTTTTGGGGTTTGTTAACTCAGGCTGAACTTCCTTTTTTTGAGAGAGCAGAGGGGCATGAGTTCCCAGTGCACGTGCTTGGAATCATGGATGAGAGTCAATAACTGTGGCCAGTTTTGGGGCAGGACAGGGAAAGGGGTCAGGTGCATTTACCACCCCTCCTGCAAAGCAGGACATGGTTATGATTCAAACAGTTGAAAGAAACCCATTGCAAAGTGTGTGTGAACCCTGTGAAACAATTGAAACACAGATTATTCCTGCCCAGACTTGAATCCAGGATTGTTATGTAGGAAAAGACCTGGATTGTTATGTGGAAAAGGCCACATCCAGGCATGGGGACCCCTCCACTGTGACCAGTTGAATTTCATGGAATCTCCTGAGTTGAAAGGGCCCCACAAGGATCAGCCTCACTGTCCCCCAGCTGATCATTGCAGTGGCCTCAGCCTCTCCTCACATGCCTTCTCCTCCAGACCCTCCACCATCTTCACAGCCCAAAAAATAACAAATTCTTTATTTTATTTCCTTCCAAATCCAAAGCCACGCTGGATTTTTAAGGCTAATGTCTTTAACTCTCTCTTTTCCACGTGTTCATGTCTCTGTGTGCCCTTGACTGGAGGAGTTGCTGCAGATTTCAGAGAGTGAGGCAATCCCTCCCCAGCAGTGTTTGGACAGCGTTTGGAGCTGGCTGGATGTGCTGGGCTGGGCAGGCAGAGTGCAGGTGCAGGTTTTAGCAGGCCTGGAGCTCTGGGAGCAGCAGCCAGCATGAACTCAGAGCCTGTTGTAATCTCTGGTTTGGTAAGTTCTGTATGTGGTTATTATCAGTGATTTGGGACCAGCCCCTCAGCAAGCCAAGCACTCCCCCTCACTCCTGCAGCACTTGGGATTTAGCACTGAGAGGATTAACCAACACCAAACCCTTCTCTTGAGCTCCTCCATGAAATACTCACTGAGAGGAGGATTCTTTGTGTGAAACACACATCTGTAGCTATGCATTTATGCCTACAGAGGTATGAATAAAACTGTCCATGCACAGATTTTCCAGATTTAGTCCAGTGGATGTGAGAATATGCTCTGTTCCCTCAATAATTGTATTAACTCCAAAGCCCCAAATTGGATTTTCTGGGTATTCCTTGCCTGCAGTGGGCACCCATCCCATGATGTGCAGTTTCCTGCAGTCTCACACCTGCTAACCACCGCCTTGGTGGGAATGATCTGTATTTGGGAGCAGTGGATCCCACTTTGTGCAGATCCTGGGGCACCTGCAGCAGGATCAGCCTGCACAGCTCACCAGATCCAGCAGCTTTAGCATCTAAACTCGTGTTACTCCTTCCATTTGAATTTCAGCGACCCTGTAACGGCGCAGACTTCAAATAAAACACAAAATGTGAAAAGAAGGAGGAGGAGGAGTTCTTTAAACCATTGTCTGTCAGCAGAACAAGCAGCTGAAGGTCAGAGCCAGGCAGGAGAGGCGCTGGCAGTGCCTGGCCCTGCTTGGCCGTGCCCTCAGCACCTGTTATCAGCCCTGTCCTCCTGCCTGTGCCAAGGCGGGGACAGGGCAGCGTCCCCCAGCCACGCGGGCCCCTCGTGTGCAGGGACAGCCCGGGGACTGCTGCTGCCACCTACCCACGGGGCACCTGGTGCTGTCCCTGCTGCAGGAGGGTCACGGCAGAGCACACAGCACAGGCTGCTCCAGACCATGCTGGAGTATCTAAATATCTCCATTCAGGACACTCACACCCTGGCTGGTCTCTGTTCCCGCACACCATCACCTGCACAGAAAAGCTCTTCCTTGTGTTCAGGTGGAGCTTTGTGTGCATCAGTCCCTGCCCGTGTTCCCTCGTGCTGTTGCCGGGCACCACCGAGAGGAGCCTGCTCCAGCTTGGCCCCCACCATGGACACCGATGGGCACTGCCGAGGTCCCTTTGGTCACCTCGTGTCGAGGCTGAGCAGGCCCAGCCCTCTCGGCCTTCCCTCCCAGGAGCGATGCTCCGGCTGTCCCGGCTGTCCCGGCGGTCCCGGGAGTCTCGGCTGCCCCGGGGGTCTCGGCTGTCTCGGTTGCCCCGAGGGTCGCGGCTGTCCCGGGGATCGCGGGTTCGAGCCCCGGCGCGGCCCCGCCCGTCTCTCAGGCCACGGGCATCGCCCCACGGGCCCCGCCCCCGCGGCACCTCCCCATTGGTCACGCCCCCCGCCGCGGCCCGGGCGGCAGCCAATGGGAGCGGGGCGGGGCGGGGCGCGCGCGGGGCGGGGCGCGCGGGGCCTGACCCGAGGTAACCCCGATCACACCACCGGGGGGCGGTGCGGGGGCGGGGCCCGGCGGGCGCGGGGCGGGCCCGGGGCGGGGCCGTGGCGGGGAGCGCCAGGCCGGGGCCCGCGGCGGCTCCGCTGCACCGGCACCGTGAGGTGAGGGCGGGGCCGCGCCGGGGTGGGGGGGCTGCCGGGAGCGCGGGGGGCTCGCGGCACCGGCGGCGGCGGCGCGCGGGGCTGGGCGGGGCCGTGCCGTGCCGCGGGAGATGGCCGGGCCATGCCGTGCCGGGCGGGCGGGACCTGGCCGGGCGCCGCGCCGGCGGGAGGCGGCCGGGCCATGCCGTGCCATGCCGAGCTGTGCCGGCGGGAGATGGCGGCGTGCCGGGCCGGGCCGGGCCGGGACGGGCGGGGGTCTCCCGGGCCGGAGCCGCCCCTCCCGCCGCAGCAGCCGCCGCCCGGTTCCCTCCCGGTTCCCTCCCGGTTCCCCGCGCTCCGCCGGGCGGGCCCGGGCCGCGCTCAGCCGGTGCCGTGTCTCGCGTGGCCTCGCCGGTTCCCCGCGGCCTGAAAGGAGCAGCACGTGGGCGGCGGGGAGTCCGGCACCGACGGGCCGGGCTGGGCTGGGCCGGGACCGGGGCTGGGCATCCCTGCTCCGTCCTATCCCTGCTCCGTCCCGTCCCTGCTCCGTCCCGTCCCTGCTCCGTCCCGTCCCTGCTCCGTGCCACCCAGCCGCTGTCCCGGGGCAGTTTCGGGATCCTGGGAACTCTCTGGGTCCGGTCCCGCCGAGGGGCTGAGAGCAGCCCTGAGATGCTCAAACCAGTCAAGTTTTAAAAGCAGATTGGCAAACCAATATTTGTTCTTGCCCTTCCATTCTCTTAAATATTCTTGAAGAAGTTTAGAATGAGAAGAAGTGCTGTGTTTGAAAGTATCTGAAGCGTGAGTGGAGTCTGTTCCAGTTTAGCAGGCAGGAAATGTTCAGCAAAGTGTTTGAGTGATGCCAAAATCTCTCCAAGACAGTGGGATTCAGCCAGTCTCGAGTCTTTCAGCAGACTGGGATAGCTGTAAATACAGGCTCTTATGTTGCTCTCTGGAGGTTTGGGCTGGATAATGGGAAACAGCTTTTCCCTGGAGGGTGCTGGCACTGCCCAGGCTCCCCAGGGCACGGCCCCGAGGCTGCCAGGGATGCCCGGGGTGGGATTTTGGGGTGTCTGAGCTGGCCCGGATGATCCTGTGTGTCCCTCCCAGCTCAGGAGTTCCACGATTCTGTCATTCTACATCCACAGGTGGAAGGTTCTAGGTAGTTGTTTGTCCCCTCATACCCATCCTAGCCCTGCCCCGGCACAGCCCCAGCTGCTCCTTTGGCTCACAGGGAGCAGAGTTGGGAGCTGCAGCCCCTGGCGAGTGTCCCTCAGTGTGCTCCAGCTGGACAAACCCCCAGCTCTGCCGTGAGACCCTTCCCATGCCCTGTCCCTCCTCTGGGCACCCTCCATCCATCTCCTTTGGCTCTCTCTGTGCCCGGGGCGGTTGTGAGGAGCCCTTGGAGCGCTCCTGGGCCGTGTTTGGGGCCGGGGATGAGGCAATGCTCAATGATTAACCAGGAGGGCAGGCCCAGGTGGGGCAGGCCCAGGTGGGGCAGCCGCGGGGGCGTTAAAACAGCGTGGCCAGGGAGCACTGGGGTGTTCGGAGCGGGGACCCTGTGCTGCAGGAGTCTCCCTTCTCTCCCGAGCTGGAACTGCCCCCCCAGCCCTGGTACAGGTGAGCACTCTGCTGCTTTTTGCCGTTTTCATTTGGCTTTACCTTTGTTTTGCTCCGTTGTTTTCTGTGTTTCTCCAGGTGAGAGCACAAATCCATTTCATCACTTTGAAGTGATTCAGGTTGTTCAGCAATGCCACAGCTCTAATCAGGAGGCATTTAAGCACAGCTCCTTTTATCTAGTTTTATTAATTTCCTTTTCATGTGCCACATCAATATGATAGAAGTGTTACTGTAATTTTTTTGAAAGAGCCCACTGAAATACTATGAATACATGGAATGGTTAGAGAAAAACAAGCAACTTTAATTCCCACCTGTCATTGCCCAAGTTTCATGCCTGGGTATATTTTTACAGAATTAAAAGTGATTTTAAGGTGAGGCTGTTAGAAAACTTCTCAAGTCTGGTATTCTTACCAGTGCATTTCAGGGTCAAGCCAAAGATGTGAGTAATGGTAGCAGCAGAGCTGTGGAGGAGTGAAGTGGGGCTGGATTTGCCTTGGGCACTCTCTGGGTTTGGGTTGCAGAGTTTTCCCTGCTGGTAGCACGGATTTATTTGGGTGTTGGATGCCTGGACACCTGCTGGCAGTGGAGCTGATTTGCCTGGAGCAGGGAGCTCATATATGCATAAATGTACCCCTTTATTTATATATATAGGGTGCATAAATATACCCCTTTATTTATATATATAGAGTACATAAATATACCCCTTTATTTGTATATATAAGTACATAAGTATACCCCTTTATTTGTATATGTGTAACATACCTCTGTATTGGTATATGTACCTTTGTATGTGTATAGATAGTGCAAGTATATTTATAAAATATACCTCTATATATAATACAAGTATATTTATAAAATATGCCTCTATATGAGTCTAGCTAATGTAAGTGTATTTTTGTGTATGTTGCACACCTCTATATTTATATGTAATTCACCTGCATAGTTGTAAATATCTGAAGTTTACCTGTATATTTCTGTATGTGAAATTTACCAGTGCACAGCCCTGTGCATTTCACTCCCAGCGCTGAAATCCAGTGAGGAGACCCCTGAGAAAAATCCCTGTGTAATTTAGCCCCAGACAATGGTGAAATTAATTTAAATATGAACGAGGCCTCTCGGTGTGCTGAGAACAAGCCAAGCTTATCACCCCAGCACTGATTGCACAACCCCAGTGGAACTGCTGCCTGTGGGACTGGCTCCCAGGGCTGGGAAGTGCCTTGGGAAATGGACCTGAGTGGGGTTTCGTGGATATTATCCTGGTTTTTGGGAGCTGAGTCGGACAAACGAGGTGCCGGAGTGAACTTGGGTGAGCATGGCAATGCCTGCCTTGGGTGGATGGTTTCTCATGGAATATTTGAGTGAAACACCTCCCTTCCTGCTCCTCTGCTTCTGAAAAACCCCAAATCCTTGAAACTTGCTCATTAACGTATTAGTTATTGAAATGAGGAAAGGTTTTCTTCAATGAAGTTGGGCTGAAGTTAGTTTGGCTGCATCCCAGCCTCTTCGGTGCCAACAGTAAATGTGTCTGGATGAAAAACTTGAGGAGAGATCTGCTGCCAGGATAAATATCCACATAAATACTGTCTGCATCTTTGTATGCACAAACAAAATTGGATTTGTGCTCTCTGAGCCCCTCAGCTAAAGAATCTCCCTGCCTGGTTGAGCTTGCACATCACAGGTGCACAGGGAAACTTCCTGGTCATGCTTCCCCTTCTTCTCATCTCTACCCTCAAAAAATACATTTTTTTTAATGCTTTTAATGTCCATGTCAGACAGATATTTGTGTCTTTTCAGTTATAAAATGGTTAATGATGCCTCTGCCAAATGAAGTGCCCGTGGCCACAGGGCAAGTGGAGTTTGTGGGAGGAGTGATGTCAACACGGGATTGGATCTGAGTAACTCAGCCAGGCACCTCGGTGGCAGGAGTGCGTGAGCCAGTTGGATGGGTTCTCAGCTCTCAGTCCCTGATGGGGAGCAGCAGTGGGGTGTCTGGGGATTGCTCTGCCTATAAATACCCCTCTGGGCCTTGTTAAGGCCCCATCGTGTCCCATTGCTGTGACACCACCATTGCTGTGACACCACGGGCCAGGTTTTGGTGCTGCACCCTTGGCTAACGGGGCTCTAATTAGCAGGGCTGATGAGCCTTTCCCTCGCTGGGGTTCAGCTGGAAGCAGCCAGAAGGGGACGGGAGAGGTTTGGTACCAGTGGATAGTGCTGGCACACCCCGCTGTTCCTGGCAGGTCTCAGAAGATTCCAGAAGGATGGACCAGCAGGACCTGCCAGGGCTGGATTTGGGCACTGCAGGTTTAGCTCCTGGGTTAGTCTGTGCCTGGAGCAAGCCTGCCAGCCTGTGGAGTGCCTGTGGGGTTTTTTTTTGGGGTGGTTTTGACTGTGTAAATAGGAAAACACACATGGGGTATGTTCATTATAACCCTGATGTTTACTTCCCAATTCTTTTCCTTTCCAGTTCGTTTTGGAAGTGGCTCAGTGCGCAGATTGCACGGATATCCAGAGGTGAGTGCCCTCCTCAGTTCCCAGTGGTGTGTTTGCAGCTGGCTGGAGCTGCCATGGGAGTGCAGCAAAGTCAGCCAGAGCAGGGGGATCAAACGTTTATTCCCCATCCCACCTTTGTGCTCTGGGGTGTTCCTTGTTTTCCTTTCTCAGTTGAAATTACTCTTTTGACTTTTAAGAAAATGCTTTCATTCCCTGCTGGAATACTGGAACAGACCCATCCCTGGGAGTGTCCAAGGCCAGGAGCAGCCTGGACTGGTGGAAGTGTAGGGGATGAAATGAGATTTAAGGTCCCTTTCAACCCAAACCAGTCAGAGATTCTCTGACCCTGTAAATTTTGATACTCGGAGTCCCCTGCCTTTGTCTGTAGGTTTTGGTCTGGTGTGTGGGGTTATTTTGGTGGGTTTTTTTTTTCCTTTAATGCCTCCTGCAGCTTTGTCTGAGGTGGGAGGTTCTGCAGCTTGTGAATCTCAGAGTCCTTGTGCAAGCAGGGAAATCAGTGCTTGGAGCAGAGCCGGTTTTGATCCCGCACTCAGGGCTCAGCTCTGCCCTTTTAACGTTGCATTTCCCACCAGTGCCCCTTGCTTTGCCCTCCAGGGGTGGCTGTTCACTCGGGTTTGGCTTTGTCCTTTGTCCTGCAGTGCTGAGAGCCCAGTTTGGGGCAGCCATGGAGGATTCCTCAGAGGCCAGCAAGGCTGCGGATGCCAACGCTCACTCGCGCTTCATCATCGGCTCCGTGTCCGAGGACAACTCTGAGGATGAGACCAGCTCCCTGGTGAAGCTGGACCTGCTGGAGGAGAAGGAGAGGTCCCTGTCCCCTGCCTCAGTCTGCTCTGACTCCCTCTCGGACCTGGGGCTCCCCAACGCTCAGGATGGCCTGGCCAGCCACATGAGGTATGGGCACAGTTACATCAAAATTCTCTATTAAATAAATAGTTAACCCACGTGAGGTGTGGGCACAGTTACATCAAAATTCTCCATTAGATAAAATAGTTAACCCACATGAGGTATGGGCACAGTTACATCAAAATTCTCTATTAAATAAATAGTTAACCCACGTGAGGTGTGGGCACAGTTACATCAAAATTCTCCATTAGATAAAATAGTTAAACCCACATGAGGTATGAGCACAGTTACATCAAAATTCTCCATTAGATAAAATAGTTAACCCACATGAGGTATGGGCACAGTTAAATCAAAATTCTCTATTAGATAAAATAGTTAACCCACATGAGGTGTGGGCACAGTTAAATCAAAATTCTCTATTAGATAAAATAGTTAACCCACATAAGGTATGGATAGAGTTAAATCAAAGTTCTCAATTAAATAAAATAGTTAACCCACATGAGGTATGGACACAGTTAAATCAAAATTCTCCATTAGATAAAATAGTTAACCCACATGAGGTATGGATAGAGTTAAATCAAAGTTCTCAAATAAAATAGTTAACCCACATGAGTTATGGATACAGAGTTAAATCCAAGTTCTCCATTTTCCATTAGATAAGCTGCATAAGGTATGGATACAGAGTTAAATCAAAGTTCTCCATTAAATAAAATAGTTCAGCCACATAAGGTACGGATAACAGAGTTAATTCAAAGTTCTCCATCAAATAAAATAGTTAACCCACATGAGGTATGGATACATGGTTAAATCAAAGTTCTCCATTAAATAAAATAGTTAAGACATGTGAGGTATGGATACAGAGGTAAATCAAAGTTCTCACATGAGGTACGGACACAGAGTTAAATCCAAGTTCTCAAATAAAATAGTTAAGCCACGTGAGGTAAGGACACATAGTTAAGTCAGTTCTCCATTAAATAAAATGGTTAAGCCATGTGAAGTATGGATACATAGCTAAATCAAAATTCTCCATTTAATAAAATAGTTAAGCCACATGAGGTACAGATACATGGTTAAATCAAAGTTCTTTATTAAATAAAATAGTAAAAGTTCCCCAGTCTTTTTTACCCTGTCCAAAGATAATCCAAAATTCAGCTTTATACCTGTGTTTGGTTTCAAGTGTCACTCTGGCATTCTGTTTCTAAATGACCTCCTCTATGTTTGTCTGTATCAAACCCTTTGATTTTCCTTTGGTTTTAGTGAAATATTTGTGCCTAGATTCCTTGCCTGTCTTGTCCTGGCTTTCAGAAAACGGAAGTGTTTTCACTGAGATATTTCAAGTTTTCACTCATGTGTGGTTTTTCTGGGCCCTGTTTGTTGAGACCAGAACAACATTTGCCTGTTTTGTCTTTGCATGGATTTGCTGCTTCCAGTGTAGCCAGGGAATTGGCAGCGAGTTGGATCAGTGGCTCCGTACTGGAATTTTTTTGGTTAGAACAGGGAAAATGGTGCTGGTTGCAGTAAAGCCTGGAGTCCTGCAGCCTGGCTTCACTCTCCCATGGACCCTTCATTTGTTTGCCATATTCCAGGAGGTTCAGGCTCTGTGTGCCTGTGCCTCCCCATCCCAGGAACACCCAGGACAGAGTGGATCCCACTCCAGGTTCACTGGACAGCCCCTCACTGCCTCTGCTGTGCTGCTTTTGAAGGAATTTCGATTCCAGCAAGTTTCCTGACCAGTTTATATTTACACAACTATATATGTAAATATAAAACATCATATTTATATAATATTTTATACAATATTATCTAAACCAACCAGCTAATCCTTGTTTTGTGTTTTACTGGTTCCTTTGCTTGTGCAGGCTGAGGAAAAGTGAAAAGGTTATAATCTCTCCTTTTTGTGGTGTTTCCCATCCCAGTTTCAGAGAGAAGCTCAGGGATCACAGAGTCCCAAACCCCAGATGGGACAGGGGGGACATTGCTCTGTGCATGGCTCTGAGGCATGTCCAGCCAGCTGGCACCTGCACAACTGATGCAAAACCTTAAAGCAAATTTACACAGGGCTGCCTTTCCACAGCCTGCCAGGTGCAACGATCTGGCAGCACAAAAGGTGATTTTGGAGCAGGAAACTGTAACTATATACAGCTTAGGTGCTCATCCAATTTCTTCTGTTCCTAACCACAAGTGTGTAAATGGAAATATCAGAGGAAGAAACTTTCAGGACAGTGTCTGGCCCCAGAGTGCAATAGGTGTGCAACCTTGGGCACCTCTGTTGTAACCTGCTTACTTTGGCAGCCCCTTTGGGGAACTCTTGACTTTTGAGTTAAATTGGAGAGAAATGCCAATTCAAATAGAAAAGTTACAGCATTGTGGGCTGTTTTTCTAAGGTAAACTCAGGTGAGCTGAAATGCTTTTCAGGATGGTTGTCACTTTCATCAGGAGATTTCTAAATCATGTTTGCAGATGGGGAAACTGAGACAAAGACAACAGCAGAGACAAGTTCAACAGCTTGCCTGGAGTCACTTTGTGTCACTTAATGGGACAGAGGTGCCCTGGCTTCCAGCTTCCTTTGGGTGCTCACAAAGGTACCACGCTGTGTCAGGTGATAAAGGAGATTTCACAGGCAGTTCTGTACCCTGGGACACAAGGTGCAGGTCCAGGGGACCATAACTTTTGGAAGAAGTTGCCAAAAACCTTTTCCACTTGCTGGTGATTTTCCCACAGGGTTAAAATGGAGATGGCTCTGTTTGGGGTGAGGGGCTTTGCTGCAGGGCAGTCCTCAGGGAGCAATTACAGTTAAAATGCAGGACTTCCTCAGCTGCCAGAGGGTCTGTGAGGGCAGGTTTGTGTGACCTATTGATCTGGCAGTGTTTGTGCTGTTGCTGAAGTCACTCCTGCCGGGACAGGTTGTGCACTCTGGGCTCTCCTGCCCTGGGCATCCATGCAGACCTTCAGGTGTGCCAGCTGGCTGCTGCTCTGAGGGTTAAAATGAGCTTCCAATTGCTGTGGGGGTCATCAGCACCCAAAAATGTGTGTGGGGACAGTAACCACCCAGGCTGGGTGTTCAGGGGGTCTCTGCTGCATTTTGCACCTTTCAATAATAAATCCAAGCCTGCCTTTTTTTTGTTTTTCCTTTTTTCTGCCTGTGTTGTCTCTGAGTTCAGAATTTTCCATCAGCACTTCCAACCAGCCCTGCTGGGAGAGTTTTCCTTGAAGTGACCTGTGACAGAGTTGCTGAGCTCCTTTCTGAAGTTTTAGTGGCAGATTAAGTAAACTCCTCCATAAATGCCACTTGGAAAGTTCTTTGGGCCCATCTGTCTTGTTTAATAAATCGCTGTTGATTATTGCTAAATTTAATTCCTAGTTTCCGAGACGGTGTCTTGTATCAAATTCTTGTTTAAAATAGAACAAAACCTGGATGTCTTCTGGTGTTTGTCCATCAGGGCTCTGGTTTCATAAGCAGTGACATGGGTGCACAGTCACCTGACAATCCACTTGTATCAGCTGAAAGCCAAATTTTTGGATGCAGTTCAGCTGTTACCTCACATGAAGCCCACAGAGTTTTAGCTCGCTGCTCCTAACACTGGATGGACTCCTCGGTGTCTCAATAAATTATGGGGATGCTTAAGCAGAACTAATCATCTGCTAAAGGAAATTTGGCCAAACGCCCCAATTTCAGCCTGGGCAGCAGGGGCTGAGCGTGCCCAGCCTGGCAGAGGGACAAGGTGCCTGCTTAGAGTGGCTGCACAGAGCCCTGGGTGCAATGAAAGATCCTTTTGAGCCTGTTCTGAATGAAAACATTCCTTTGCAGCCCAGCAGGTTGTGGCTGGAGCTGCACTGAGGAGCATTGATGCTGTGGTTTGGGCCAGCTGTGGGCAGGGAGGCACAGATGTGCTGTGGGGCTGCTCCAAGGGGATTTCTCCTCTGCTGCATGGAGGAATCCTTCTGTTCCAGGCTGTCTGCAGGCTCAGGATCAATATGCACTGTCTGCACCTTTGTGTGCACGAACAGAATTGGGTTTGTGCTGTCTGAGCCCCTCAGCTAAAGGAATCTCCCTGCCTGGTTTGGCTGGCACATCACAGGTGGGCAGGGAAACTTTCTGGTCATGCTTCCCCTTCATCTCTACCCTCAAAAAAGGTTCCCCCTCTGGCTCTCCCTGTGCTGGAGCTTCTGTGTGGGCAGATTTCTGAGGAAGGAACATTTCCTCTATCCCAAACTGGTTGTGGGTGCTTCCAGGGATGGGGCAGCCCCAGCTTCTCTGGGCACCCTGTGCCAAGCCCTCCCCAGCCTCACAGGGAGCAGTTTCTGCTTAATTTCCAACCTGAGCCTGCCCTCATGAACTTCATCCACCTGCAGTGAAAAGGTGACTTCCTCCTCTCTCTGTTGGAAGAACAGGTGGTTTGGCCTCGTGGCTGTGCCTGGTTGTGCTGATAAGGTGGGAATTGCACATGGGAATTGCAGCTCCTTCCTTCCCTGGAAGCTGCTCTGCTCCCTGAACAAACACTGTATAGCTCTGCCTGCCTCTCTGAAGCTGTGTTCTTAATTTGGTGTTATTTTGCTCCCTTTAGCCTCAGTTAACAGACATGTCCTCTCTAAATTCAGTAATTGTTGGGAGATTGTGCAGGGATTCCCTGGCTGGGACAGCCCAGTGTGAGAGCCACGTGCTCGCTTATCTGATCCTCCTGCCTGAGAGATAACCAATCTCACTGAGGTGAATTTAATGTGAGACACCCCCCTGCCCCAGCTGGTGTAAAAGGGTCCATTCTGGTGCTGTGCAGATCAGATCTGTCCAACACCTGAGCACTGCAGGGCTCCCTGCCAGGACTCCAGTTCCTCTCACTGCTGCACAACTCTCTGCTGTTGTTGTTATTCACTTTTATCTTGGTGCCACGGCTTGACCTGGAGACCTTTGGGCTGTCTGCTGCTCTGGGAACATGTGAAGTTTTATACTCCTTTAGGATGGAAAAGCAAAGCTCTTTTGGCTCTTTCTAGGAACTGGAGTATGGGTATTAATTTGATTTTAACTTGGCTGTTCATCTGGATTGATGTGG